CATATTTTTAAATAGTTCCCCAAATAGACTAGTAAACTTATCGACACTTCAATTTAGCCCAATTTTGGGATGTAACACAGAAAAAAATTTAGTTATATACTAGGCATTGCTACATCATGTAACGAATGCGTTGTCACGTCGGTTCATCTTTACTGGTTTATTTATCATACTTGCATTGCATTTTTAAGATTTCTCTGTAACTTGATATAATGATATGCAACATAGTCAGCAGCCAGATTTGTGTTCATGGCAACTGAACTCATGTGTTCAAAAGGAATACAGAAATATATGAAGATGATCAACACAACCTTGCTCGACTGGTTAGGGAAAATATGAACACCCTTATCGCCTTCTGATAGTTTCGAACCTACCGCGTTTTTTTTTTCAATACATCCTACATTGAATTGCAAATAATGTTTCAACTAGTAGTGTTTTTCGTATCCTCCTCTCCCCATAGGAGTGGCCAAACCAAGTTATTTACATTGCTCTTCATCCGGCTGCAGGCTCCCCGGAATCACACCAAATGCTTTTCTAGTTGTTTCATATCCTAAAGCCGAGTGATGAACATGTGCTGATGTGTCCTCCATATTCTTCTGCAGGTTTAAAGATATTGATGCAAATTTCTTTGACGGCTTGCTTGTGGAACAATGGATCGGCATGATCATGACCTGGATGAACTCCAAACATCAGTTTCGGCTTCCTTAACTTGATCAAAGTCCTCTCCATTGCCATACCGAGACCAGCTAGCTCGGTTTTGGTGATCACGAAGATGTTTAAGTAGTTCTCCATAGCCTTTGTTCCAAGGCCAGCTTCCCAATGTAGTAACCCCCTTTGGTGAAGGCTTGGTTACAGCTCTGTTGTTGCTCAAAACTTTTCTTGCCTACCTCAATGAACTTGGGGTTAACTCCATGAACGTTGCACATGATCTTTAATTGCAAAGCTCTCAGCAACAGTTCTGATCTGTAAATGTAAATTGTTGATGGAATACTTATTTGCAAATCTGGGTTAATGTCTCGAGCAAAACCACAAAGCAACTCCATGCTGCTGCTGGTTGTTCCTAGCAGACAAGGTCCTAAAAGAGATCAACAAGCTGGCCCATTGAACTCACCTCTCTCTACTTAAATAATCTAGACTTCTTAATCAACCCTGATGCATTAATTATTTACTAATTTATCAAACAACACATGGCTAAACAAATGAAAAAGATTCCAAAGGGTACTTAAAAAAAGAGGTTAGGAAGCTAATCCCAAGTCAATCAAACCATAGAAACTTTCAAGTTCATCATTTATCAGTTCTCACCTTCACCTCAAAGTTTTCAGATCCATTTCCAGTTTCAGTACAAATGGAAGATCAGTCAACAAAGAAGTACATATACATCAACATCTACATATACATATATAGATATATATTTTTAATTTTGCAACTGAGCATAAATAACCTAATACCCATTGTTTTCCACTTTCTTTTCCAGGTATGCAGTGGTTACGGGTGCAAACAGGGGGATCGGATTTGAACTATGCAGGCAGTTGGCTTCTAAGGGCATGACGGTGGTGTTAACTGCTCGAAGCCTTCGAGAAATTGAACCAGCTTTGTCTGTCTGAAGCTGTAATGTTTCATCAACTGGATGTCACAGTCCCTGCAAGTGTTTCTAGTTTGGCAGATTTCATAAAGACCCAATTTGGTAGGCTTGATATCTTGGTAATTCATATAATATACACTTCATTTTGACTGGAATCTGAAAAACCGATCCGATCAATTCAAAATGATTCGGGAATTTTAAAACCTGAACCGACTCGATCCATAATCTTTGTAGGTGAATAATGTTGGAATATCTGGAGTTTCAGCAGATGAAGATGTGTGAAAGCTGCTGTTCTTGGCAAGGTAATCTTTACTATGATTTCATTGGTCATCATTCGGGGAAAATAATGTGTTGCATCAAACAAAACATTAAATTTCTTGTCACTTGATCCAGCCTTTTGCTGCAATCAACTGGAGTGAAATATTGATCGAAACAAACGAGTCATCTGAAGAATGCCCAAAAACAAATCATTATGGAGTCATGAGAATGTATGAAACACTCCTCCCCCTTCAGTTATCTGATTCGTTGAGAATTATAAACATCTCTGCTTCAATGGAACAGTTATAGGTAAACATATACTTAACGGAGATAACCATAATCATTACAGCTTTGATTAGTGTTTCTAACAGAGACAGGCAACAAACTTGTGTTATGTTTCAGAATATATCAAATGAATGGGATAAAGCTGTCATGGGGGATGCTGAGAACCTTACAGAAGACAAAGTGGATCAAGTGTTGAGAATATTTACGAATAACTTCAAGGAAGGTTCATTACAAGCCAAGGGCTGGCCTACTCTTTTGGCGACATATTCGGTCTCGAAAGTGGCCATGAACGCCTACACAAGGACACTGGCAAAAAAACACCCCGGTTTCCAAATCAACTGTGTCTGCCCTGGTAATGTCAAACAGACATAAACTATAACACAGGTCTGTTGCCTGTTGAAGAGGGCGCCGAGAGTGGTGTGAGGCTGGCTTTGTTGCCCAATAATGGCCCTACTGCCCACTTCTTTGTTAGGATGGAACACTCAGAATTTTGATCATATTGACCTTGTGAAAATATATGGTTTATACCTTCTGTATTAAACATCTATGACTCTCAATCTAATAAAAGGCATTGTCAAAATGAATCCATTTTATTAATTTTTTCATCCTTTTTCTTTATTTTTGGGGTAAAGTACACAAATGGTCCCCCAACTATTGGGTATTATTTTATTAAGTTCTTCGACTATTAAAAGTTACAAACTGATCCTCCAAATATAGAGTGTTACTTTGTTAAGTCTCTCGACTATTAAAAGTTACAAAAGGGTCACTCAACTATTTATTATGTTCCAAATTCACCATTTTCTGCAAAATATGATGGTGTTCTGAGCTGAATGTTAACCTACTGGATGTGTCATTATAAAATCTGATCCTAAAATCTCAAACAATTATCATTCTCAGTCATCATATTAACGTCCAGCTGAGACAACCGCCAACTTTTAATGGAAAATGACGAGTTTAAAACATAATGAATAGTTGGGTGATCATTTTATAACTTTTAATAGTCGAGGGACTTAAGAAAACAACATTCTATAGTCATATGACCATTTTTAACTTTATATAATCAATGAACTTAATAAAGTAATATCCTATAGTCAGGGGACTATTTGTACTTTACCCTTATTTTTATTAACTTGGCCGTTTATCGGTAGAGGGACTAATTTTGAATAAACCCTTAAAACAGAGGGAGTCAGCAGGTATTTTCACCGTCAAATGGTGATAGTGGGAAATTTCCTTTCATATGGAAACAAAAATTATTCGCCTTCCTCGCTGTTCTCTTCTTCATCGCACACCCATTAATTGCCAAATTTGGTTGGTTCCTCCACCGCATACGTTGGAAATATGCTAATGTTATTATTTTTTGGCTTATTTCTACCTTGGAAATATGCTAGTATTTTTTTATATTTGATTCTATAATATATATCTATGGTTATTCGTTCTAATAATGTTAAATTTAAACTTTAAAACCGGTAATATATTATTTCAATATCTTTATCACTTGTAGATAAAAACATAAACAAAGCACAAAACAACTTGCCTCCGTGGCTAAAAGAATCATTATTGTTTTTAGAGGTCACGGGTTTGAACACTAACGAATGCAGTAGGATAATTGAACACATTCATTGTCAAATGATTGAGAGTACGTAGAACAAATGATGATTTATAATCACTTTAACTTAAGTGTAAATTACAAATTTGATAACTGAATTTTCATATGATTCCTATTTTACTCACTGTACTTTCAAAATTTTCAATTTGCTCACTCAACTTTATATATTGAGTTTTTTTTGTCACTCTGCTGTTAAATTTCTCACGCACTTATAACGTGGTTTAGAGAAATAGTTTTTTAATCACTAAAAGCCACGGATGTTACGACAGGTCAAAAAAAATAAAGGGTAAATTACAAATTTGATAACTGAGCTTTCATATGATTCCTATTTTACTCATCATACTTTTAAAATTTTCAATTTGCTCACTTTGTCGTTAAACTTCTCATCATCAACGATCGTCCACCTCTGTCCTCATCGTCGAACCCATCTCTGACCAACGGTGGCTCGCACCGCCACATCCAATAACATCGGTGTCGCCACCCAATCGAAGCCCTGTCCTTCATCGTTGATGAAAGTCCACCGTTCATTCGTAAAATCATAGGAAAACGTTCGATGACCCGTCGTTGATCTCAGTCTTCGTTGGATGGTGACTGTCACTTCCAGTATCGATGTGAGCGTCAGTCCACTGCAACCAAAACCCTGGTGGCCGATCATTAAGGCTCCCCGCCGTTCATCGTAGAGAAATCGTCGAAGGTTCGTCGGGAAACCAAAGTTTTCCATCGATTTTCGGTCACCCCGACCATTTGTTCGTCTCACTGCCGCCACTGTTGAAGTCATATCTTCTTTTCGATAAAAACCCAATCGATTTGCCCTTTCAACGTCGCTGCTTCCGTAGTCAGTCGTTTTTCGTTTGTTTTAGACTGTTTTGCTGCATATCTGACGCCAAAAAAGTCGTCAAACTTAAACCCGATGCAGTTTTTCGACCACCCCGATTATCCGTTTTTCTAACCATGGCTCACTTGGCTTGCACCAATTAAAAAACCATTTCTCTAAGCCACATCATAATGGTGTGAGAAGTTTAACGACATATTGACCCCAAAAAAACTCAATCTATAAAGTTGAGTGAGCAAATTGAAAATTTTGAAAGTACAGTGAATAAAATATGAGTCATATGAAAGTTTAGTTACCAAATTTGAAATTTACGCTTAATATATAAATAAAAAAGCACGTTGCTATGGGGTTGCAAGTGGATTTCACTTTGATAATAAGTAATCTCAAACACCATATCTCATCTAAAGGGGAAACTCACAGTACCTCAACACTAATTATTTAATCCCCTGAGTTCCTTTCATTAAAGCTCTGCCTTTAAATTCATTCCCTCTACTTTTTCGAAAACACTCGTACACTGTCTCAACCCATTTTCCCAAACTTCATCAAAGATTCAAAGGTCACAATTTTCATATCATCCTCCCACCTCTTCTCCGATTCTGAATTTCCGCCCCCATTATCTCAAAACTTCATCTTTTGATTCGGGTTCGATTTATTTTTTACTAAAAGCATTGCAATTTTGATAGCAGAAGCGATATAAGTAGACTTCAATGGCTCTGAGGAAACATGGGTTGATTGCTTTGTTTGATGTTGATGGAACTCTTACAGCTCCGAGAAAGGTATATAAATCTTAGTGATATGCCTTTTGATTTCTGGGTTTTTGAATTTAAGTGAACCTGACATTCATTTAAATGGTATAGACGGCTACCCCTGAAATGCTTGAGTTCATGAAGGAACTGAGAGAGGTATTTGATTTTCATGATGACATTTTTGGTTCTCTTTTGTTAAATCTGTTGTCAAACTTACTCTTTCGATTGAAGGTTGTTACTGTTGGAGTAGTGGGTGGATCTGACCTTAGTAAGATATCTGAGCAACTTGGGCAATCAGGTTTGCTTCTATTAGCTTTTCACATGTTGTTTTCATTGTTCCTTTAATGCCTATGATTGATCATTAACCATAGTTTGCATTTGCTGAAAGTGCAGTCATTAATGACTATGATTATGTGTTTTCTGAAAATGGGCTTGTTGCTCATAAAGATGGGAAACTCATTGGCACCCAGGTATTGTTACTCGTAGCTTGCATTTTCTATTTGTCCAACGCCATGTTTTCATGGCATGTAAATTTAAGAGCCGGTGATAAGTTTTTCCCTTTTGGTTCCTTTAAGTTGATCTGCATTGCTTTAACTCAGTCTCCGTTCCCTTTTTCCAGAGCTTGAAGTCATTTCTTGGAGAAGAGAAGCTGAAGGTTAGATTCGTTTTCCCTCTTAGATATGATGGCTCTACCACTTGACATCTAAAATAGATTGCATTAAGAAAAAGGTCGATTTATAATATCGTTGCGACTCAATTGATGTTCGTTTGCTGCTTGTATATCTAAAGTACAATATCTAATTTGAACATATTTTAAGTGTTGGTTGAATGATAGGCAGTAATAGTTTAGTGCAGTGAGCTACATGTTGTATGCTATTTGTTCATTCATTGCAAATGATTGTGCAGGAATTTATAAACTTCACGCTGCATTATATTGCTGACTTGGATATCCCAATAAAAAGGTAATAAAACTTAAAGAATGGAGTTTATACTTCAAACTCTAGCACAACTCTATTTATTCTTCTAATCGTCCGAGATGAATGACGCAACCTCTTTATTGTTTTTCTTCGGTTTAGGGGTACATTCATAGAATTCCGAAGTGGGATGCTCAATGTATCTCCAATCGGACGAAACTGCAGCCAAGAAGAAAGGGATGAATTCGAGAAGTATGACAAGGTATAAAACACAAATCTAAAGGATATGGAATCAGTATTTATAGGTGCATACGCTTAAACAAATCTAAATACATGAGGTTTCAGGTTCACAATATTCGCCCGAAAATGGTTTATGTGCTTCGAGAAAAGTTTGCTCACCTGAACTTGACGTTCTCCATCGGAGGGCAAATAAGCTTTGATGTGAGTAATGCACACGTTCATGATTAAACGTTTTAAATTACAAGACTGTAGAAAGAATCCATCGGTTATTTATTGCTTCGTTTTGCTTGTAATAGGTTTTCCCCCAGGGCTGGGACAAAACATACTGCTTGAGATATCTTGAAGATTTTCCAGAAATCCACTTCTTTGGGGACAAAACATACAAGGTTGGTTCCATTCCACTTCTTTGGTCCTCCATTCTATATGATTCATAAATTACTTCAGCCTTTATCTTCGATACCGTTAACGGCCGTGCCTGGATAATTTAATGATCAGGGAGGGAATGATCATGAAATTTATGAATCAAACAGAACTGTGGGACACACAGGTGAGTTGCTATCTCAAGGCCGAACAGTTAACACACAGATCTTCAATGTTCAACGACTTAATATGTTGTGAGAAGCATGAATAAGATTATATTTGTTTTGGTCATGCAGTCACGAGTCCTGATGATACAGTGCAGCATTGCAAAGCTCTCTTCCTAAGCAACCCTTGAACGACACCATTTTTCTTCTTGATGTTATCAATTTGTGCCGCGTATTTTAATAGAGCAAATAAGTGCCAAGGCGGTGCTGGCTTAAGTACGTAGTTTTATATATAGTTCATGTCAAATTGGTTGACAGTTGCTTATTCAGAACTTGCAGAAACTACTGTATCACGATTATTCTTTTACTACAATTTGAGGAAATCAAATTCACTTTTGGACCTTTACCATATTGTGGTTGCAGCAATTTATATCTTTTAGTGCATAAATAACATACATATACATCCACATTGAAGCCAAAGAAGAGGCAGATAAATTAAAATATAGGCTTTTACCCAAATATACCTTTTTAATTAAATACTGGATTAGTATTCATCTTCATTTGTTTACTGAAATAACAGTCATTTATGTCATGTAAAATAAGGACAGTGTCTAGTGAAAGAACAAATATCATCTTTGAGAATTCTTCAACCCATGAAAATGGTCCTTTGCTGTATATTATTTGGTAACATCTCTTTCTGTACAACTCACAACAATGGGGAGGCATGTAGTTCTATACAGTTTTTTTATTACCCCTTGTGAGGGGTGGGGGTTAACACTGGGAACTTTTCATATTACCAAAGTTCCTTCGGTAAGGTTTTCATCCGAAGAATCTGGCGGTTGCGTTTTGGATTTACTCGTGACTCGAGAAAATCCATAACCAAGAGAACTTCCGCTGGCTTGGCATAGCTGTGAAATGAAAACACATACGAATTATGATAAAATTATACATTGAGATGTTAGGTATGAATGCAACAGACATGAAGGCGATATGGTGATTTTAATTTTCTGCTACAAAAAGGAGAGTAGGGTTGTAGGGAGTACCTCTGTTAGCTCCGCAAGATGGCGGGACCTGAATTCATTGATTGTTGCTGCAATCTCAGATGTGGGCAGTTTAGCCTGCAAAAAGAAACACAGAAGACGCTTTAAGATATCGACAGCGACTAATAAATAACAGAATAGAAGAGAATAAGATTAATGGGTGAAAAACAAATTAAACTCTCCGGCCTTAGTCATAGTAAGTTGACATTGCAAGAGTTGCACAATGCCAAACCAGATCCTTCATTGCCAAGGAAAACAAAAGGGAACGAGGATGCTCATAGTACGAAAACAATAATGCATCATACCTGTGCAAGAACAGCAGCTGCCAACTGTAGACTTGGTTCCAAGGTTTCTGGCACAACCTGTGCTCAACAAGCAAGAAGAGTAAGGAAAAAACAGAAATGAAAAATAACAGGAGATTTTAGTAGAAGGTATCAGAATATTACAGCCGTAGCCCCAGCTTTTTCCAAATTAAGGCCATGATCAACATCATGAGCACGGACAAATGTTTTAACGTTAGGGAAATACTTGTTCAGAGCCCAAACAGTTCTATAATTGGCACCGGGAGTATCCAACGTTATTGCTGCAGCACATGCTCTTGCAGCACCAACTTTATGAAGGACCTATTTACCAGTATAAAGAAGTCAAATAGAGATCTAAGAGTTGGGTTATTTCAAACTTATTTTGCTTACCTCTCGACTACCAGCATCTCCAAAATAAACAGGAATGTCCAGGGCACGCCCCATTGCTACCCTATCACTGAAAGCGCAGAACATTTTAGTGTCTTACCATTATCGATTGATGAACTTTAGATGTCTGTTACTTTGAAATGCTAACCAATGATGAAAGTACAATTATTTTATGGCCATTTCCAGAACGAATCATCCTATTTCCGTGAACGCCGTAGCTTTTTCAACAAAAATGTCAATCATATAGTATGCGAAAATGACCATATTGCATTAGTAGAAAAATGCTGGGAAATAGGCATGCCCTTACAAATGTATAAAAGTGGTGTTATTTCCAATGGCATATAACTCTACAGTTAAAACATCTAGAACCTTTTTCTTTCATTTTTCTTCTTTAGAAAAGCATTCAAAAAGAGAGGTGTCAGGTTCTCCACCGAGGAACCAACTTTCCCATATATCCATCAGTCCCTCTAGCTCATAATCACATACGCATATGCTGTTAGTGGACATTTAATATTATACCAATACATTGGGAAAAATAGATAATGAAAGACAAACTCACAAGTCACCATACAGATTAGGATCTTGGAGGAATTAAATTGGCAAACATAAGGATCTATACTGTACCTAGCTAAAGAGTTAGATGTTTGCAAAATCATAAACACTGTTTGAAGACCCTCCAGCCTTTTCGTATTTCTTAAAAAAGAGCAAATATTCATTCAAATAAATTTTCTTGTTACCTCCTCACATCAAGAGCAACAAATGGAATTAGGCGTTCTGAGAGAAGCTGAGCTATGATCTGAAAACACCCAGAGAAAAACAGAACGACATTTTATAAACATATGTTCACTATTAACTAATTAGAGAGGAGGTTCATCAGATTAACATTTTCAGAGTAAATTTTCAAATTCAATGGAGTAAATATATAAATACCTGGCCAACACGTCCAAAGCCACAAATAATAATGTGATCTTGCAAATCATCAGTCTGGAAATAATACAAGTCAGAGACAGATTAGTATGTAATTATCTGTGATCCCACTACATAAAAAATGGGATGCTTAACATACTGGAAGGATATTTATTGCATACGGATACTTCACATTCCCTCCAATATTTAATATCTGATCATAATCACCCCAGATAACTTTTATTGCAAAATCAATGAAGCTTTATTCCCATATCAATTTGTTACTACCTCAAAATGCAACAAAACATGGAGTTCACTCAAAGAACCATGGGAAGGCCTGCTTTAGATATTTACAAACAACTGAGGGGGGAAACTAAAACTTGCAACCTCAATTTAGACATGTTACCTCACTCTCAACAGGCAATAAACTTCGAACATCCTGCAGCTCAAAACGTGAGGCAATTAATTGGCCTCCGGCAGCAAGCCAAGGTGTGAGGGCCATTGAAATCCCCACAACAAGGAACAACAATGAGGATAGCTGAGAAGACATTATTCCCTGCCAAGAAAACCCCATTAATACTTGCATAAGCAATAAAAAAAATTCATTATTAGAATTTGGAAGTTGGATTTCATTATTTAAAAAACAATGATCACTATTGATTAATAGCAAAGCAATCCCATTTACCAATATATATGATACAATTAATGATATCCCAAAATATTACGGAATAAACCTTACACAGTTACACTGAAAAAAATAAAAAAAATAAAACCCAATAGCCCAAAAGTTTAATTAAAAAGTTACCAAATGCAGGATAAACTATTAGATGTGGATGAGAAGATAATCTTGTTACCGACTGATGTTAGTTATTAGAGAAAGAAACCTGATTAACAGCTTCACCGAAAGCTACAAATGCAAATTCTCCACCTGGAGCCAGAAGAAGACCAACCCTTATGGCAGAAATAATTGAAATGCCAAAAAGTTTCCCAACAACTGCCACCAATACAGTCTTGCCACCAAGTAAGAGTGCTAATGTCCCCGCAATGACAGGAAAATTTGATAAAAGAAGCTTCGGGTCAATGGACATGCCAACCTGAAAAGTCAAATTGTCAATGGTTGGATATGCTAGATCATCAAAATATGGCAGTACCAATAACCTAAAACCAAAAACAAGCCAATTAAGCAAGTGTTATCATTCTCCAAACTTGGTAATGTAACGATAAGAAGATTTTATCCAACCAGCTCACCCAGTTTTTTCCCACTTCAAACTATGAGATAAAATCACCAGAATCTTGGTCTTGGTCGTACAACTGTTATATACTATTTACACTAAATGGCCTTCATAAGAAATGAGCACCAGGTAGCTTTTACAATTGAAGCAAGAATGAAATTCTGGTCATCTAAAATGGAGATGCCAGCAAATAAAATACCAACCGTCATGAAGAAGAGACCCAATAAGAGGCCACGATATGGAGCAATATCTGATTCAACCTGCAAAGAGAATTCAGTCTCTGCAAGAAGCAAACCAGCTAGAAATGCTCCCAATGCCATGGAAAGTCCAGCCTGTTCAACCAGAAAGTAGAGAAAAAGGAAGGATCTAAGATATTATTACTACTATAAAAGAAAAAAGAAAAACCAAGAAGAAGAATGTATAGTTTCATACCCTAGCAGTAAGCAGACTTGTCCCAAGAATAACAAGGAGGGTATTGGCTGAGAATATTTCTGCATTTTGATTTTCTGCTATTTGCTTATAGATCGGTCGGAGTAACTGCAAGAAAGAACAAAAGGTATCAATAATCTTAGTGAATTCAGAAAATTGTGGGTAAAATGCTTCTATGAGTCGATACTGCCACAGACTATTAGATGCATTTACTATTTGCATAACAAACCTCTCACGGGCTATCAGTTAACTCCTCAATGATACTCTTATATCCTAATAGATAATTTTCAAAGTTTTTCATCAGTCAAATATTAGGTGATAAATTAATTCAAATATTACAGGATCAATTACAATAAGGTAAAACAACAACAAATTATTGCCCAAACCTGAGCCCCTTGACGCCAGCTTGCAGTGATGGCAATGTCCAAGAGCTTCTGCAATGGCTCTAAAACCAACCTAAAAACCAGAAAAAATTACATTACTCAAAGTAAAAATAAAAAACATAGAAGTACCGGCAATGATAACAAGAATATATAGAAGACAACCCAGACGGGGAACTTCACTTCTTAACTTGCCTCAGCCATCAAAATTCTTCCATATTTTCTCCTAAATATCTCCACTAGCAAATGTCTATCCAAAATACCTCATAGCATTTCATTAGAACTATTTGTGGAGGCAAACGTCAAACTAGAAAAGAAAATATTTTGGAAAAGCACATGCTCCCTTAAAGCAAACTAGTGTAGTATGCTGCAAAGAAATAAACAGAAACAGAAACTAAGAAACCCCAAGGAGATGAAGGAACAGGTTAATAGAAGCCATGGAAAATTACTCATCAAGACCACAGCCTAAAGAAAACATTATGGTTCATTCATCAAAACTTGATCCCCAAGTAAACTTTATGGCTTATGCAAGTATCAAAACAAAAAAAAAATCTAGATATCTGTAAATGGCATAATATAAAAGCAAGACCAATAGAATATTCAAGGTGAAATGAAGATTAAAAAGGAAATAAACATGGATTTATTAGAATTAGAACTTACCCCTCCTTTTGATGAATTTGGTGAGATAAGAGGAATGAGTATAAGCAAAACAACAACAGCCAAATCCTGGAAAGGAGATATTGATCAATAAAAGACCATAACCAAAATATCTAAATGAACTAAATGCCACAGTAAAATTAGAAAGAATGACAAGGGGGATTCCAAACACATCAAGTAGGTATTATTATATTTGTCCTAATTGCTGATATAGTCTGATCATGAATGAAACATTTTGAGCACCTTGAGAGCAAGATGGCTTAAGTGCATGGACGATTACCATATCGTGTTGAGTAGATAACTAATTTCACCTTTTGTTTACTTCAACAGTAACTATGTCAGTTTAAAACATAAAGACAAGGAAAAAGATTTCAACAATAGTAATAAGGAAAAAAAGAAGAAAGTGACAGAAAAAAGTAGAAGCAGGAACACATGTATCAGTTATCAAGATGTTCATTTGTATGACAACTGCATGAAGAATTATTATCACCGACTGCAAAATTCAATTCAAAACAAAATGCCTCCTGAAGTCGATCTCTTTTCTCAAGATCCTAGGACAACCTGAAAAAGTAGGACTGAAAATGTAGCACGTCCATGGCGCGAAGTACTCTCACCTCGCTCCTGTAAAACCTGCAAATGAAGACAATATCAGCTATATGTACATAGAATGGAGCCATGAGGTTTCATTGTATTCTGTGGTAGATATGTTGTTGTAAAAGAATAAAAACTATGAAAATAAAAACAAATGACAGAAGTCTGACACAATCAGGTCATAGGCATACTATATTAAATCTACTAGGTAAATTTGCGAAGTTGCAAGAATCCAAGTTATCTTCTAATTTCCAATGATTTTGAGATGCCACAGATGAATATAAGTGGAAAACAGATGCATTATATTAAATAAAAATATAATTTGAATATTTTGCAATAGCAAGCTTGCTATATTTTTTCCCCTTCTTCAGGATGTACAAGAATAATGGTAATAATGCAATGTCAAAAATTAATGACATCTGAAGCAAAATGTACCTATGTTAATACCTGCAAGACAACAGCAGTTGAAGATAATGCCAGGCCGTTCCCGATCACAATTGCAGCTGGACCAGCCTGCCCAGCAACAAAATGAGAAACCAGACCAACCACAACTGCTGTCACAAGGACCTGTATCACATTAAAGTTAAAATAACTTCTAAAACACAAGTGAATAGAAGAAAAATTATCTTCTCAATTACCTGGGCAGAGCCTAATCCAAAAACATATTTCTTCATGGAACTTAATCTTTCAACAGATAACTGCAAAAGGTAAAAAATAGACAGACATTTGATATCATCTTATAATTATGAAGTTCAATGTAAAGCTACAACTATGGATGTAAAAAATAAACTCCACCTCAAGGCCGATATTGAATAGCAAGAAAACAACTCCAAATTCAGCAATTGCTTTGGTCCCATGCACATGACGGATTATGGAAAGACCATAAGGTCCAATCAAGATGCCAGCAGCCAAATATCCAAGAACAGGGCTGCCTAAAATTTTGAGAATATAGAAGTAAAAACAGCATCATATACAAAATTCCCAAAGGAGAAAAGAAAAAGGGGAAATAATGATAAGGAGTGGAAAAGCAAAAATATAACTGTTTATTCCGGTCTATGAGGAAACATCATAAAAAGCAAACAGAGAATTCAAACATGAGCTCCAAAAGTCTTCGTAAAGGTTCAGAATTGACAAAAAGATCATGTGTAATGTCAACTCAATGCAACACACTGAAATGATCTAATGGATAGAGAGTTAGTCACCTCCAGGAATTTTCTGAAATATAGGCACAAAAATTACACTTGCAAGAAGTAACCACAGCACATCAAAGAGGGAGGCCTCCTCCTCATTCATCTGGGAAATTCAAAGATTGAAATAAGCTTCTGACAAGCTGCTATATACAGTACAATTACGATCACTGGAAGGAAATGAAAGATTAATAAATGGTGTAGGAACACTTACCTCCTGATGTGGAAGCAACGCAACTAGTTCTTTTAGTCTTTTAGGAATTTTCTGTATTTGTCGGATCAGAGGCTTTGCATCTGTAGAAACGTCTTCTATACTAGTGGTTATGACATCTGGATGCTGCATCAGCCTAGCTCTCCTCTCTGCCTGATTAGCATAGAAGGCAACCCTGTGATCAAAGATGGAAAATCATTTTCCAAGCATCAAATCTTATAAAAAAGCAACAAAAGACATATATGGGAATTTTGCAAAAAGAGTGATATGAATAAATTAGTAACAAAATAAGACAGTAATATTCAAAAGCATACCCAGCTCCCAAGAGCAGTACTCCTACAACCAATTTCGGAATATGTTTCCTCGCAGACTCCAAAAGACTCTGGGCAACTGATGATGGGGTGAACTCTGTCCCATCATCAGTGAAGGAAAAGAAAGATGCAGGGAAGAAACGTGAAGATTTCTTCAACAGTGACTTTGAGGAATTAGGGGGTGAAGTCTCCCTTGTCAGCTCCTTCTGAGATTCTGACTTCTTTGGTTTAACACTTTTTGACTTTTCTGCTTCAATTTCAGCTTCTTTTAGAGAATCTGAACCCAGCATTCCATTCTCATGATCACTTGGATCATCTGTAGGCTCAGCAACCAATGTACTATTACCATTAACCAAAGCATCCCTTTCTCTTTCAACAAAAACATCACTAGGACCCCCTGGACCAATCTCTTCCTCGACAATTGTCTCTTCACCCAAAACCTGCCCCTGGGCAGCTTCAGCAGTGTCAATAGTCAAATTAGAAAGGGACTTTTGAGCTCTTTGCAGAGCTATCTCTGCATCGTTCACACGCTGTGTAGCCTCCAACTCAAAAGCAACTGCTTGTTCAGCTAAAAGCATGATGTTTGCCACATCTTCCTCGGCTTTCAAAGCATCCATCTGTGCTTTCTCCGCAACAGCATTCGATCTATCCACTTCTTTCTGCAACTCCTCCTTTTTACTCTGCAAGTGCCTTAACTCTGCTTCACAATTTGCCAATTTCTCCAGACATTCTTTGATCTCATATTGTGCAGCCACTGGTATTCCATTATCTTCCCTAACATCAATTTCCACATCACTCTCCCCAGAACTGTCTGCTGTCACCTGAAGCCTTGCCTCAGCTAATGATAGCACCATTGTTGCTTTTTGAACAGCCTCCTTAGCAATGCACTCGTCATTCACAATATCTTGAATCATATTAATCGTGCTGTTAACATCATTCCAAGCATTGGCTGCTTCATCCTTCGAAGCTATAGCAGCTTCTGATGTTTTTTGAGCCCTTTCCTCAAACATCCTACTGTTAAGGCGTGCCACTTCCAGTTCCTTCATTGCCTTCTGCAACAACTCCCTCAACTCATCCAGACTAGGTGTTTCTACTTCACTGTTTCTCTCTTCTCCAGAACTGCTTGATACAGTACCACCAGAACTTCCATCACTACTCTCTGCAAATTCCACATTCCGACCATTCCCATCAGCATAAGCTATCGAATCATTACCTTGACAATGAGACCTAACTCCTCTTAGTTTTGACACCTCATGCAAACTGTTAAACAAAGATGTACTAGATGTACTGCATAAATGACTATTGAGTTTCCCCCTGAAAACCAAATTCGAACTTAAACAACCACCATATGCCATATTTTTCCTCATTTTCTTCGGGGACCAAGCCTTCCATCCAGTCTTGGGACTAAGAACATTGTAACTTAGATTTGTACATTTAAACCTAGGACCTAATGGATTCAGTATCCTATATTTAGTACCTTCTCCACCATGAAAGATAGTAGTAGGACGGTTAAAACTACAAGCAAAATCCATATTTCTAGGCCACACCGATCTTTATTCTCAGCAAGGCATTTCGAGTATTCTCATCAACCTTTTATCGAACACCTGGAGAAAGAACACAAAGTAATAAAGAATACATACTAGCAACCCTAGAGCAGCAAATCAGAACATACTGAATGAGTATATACTCATTCAAAGCACGTGTACATAATCAAGATAATAAAAGTCGATAAGTAAAACCAAAGAGAGAGGGGACAAACCGACCAAGGAAACGGCGGAAATGTAGGAGAGAGGCGGAGTTTTGGAGGAAAAACTGAAGACCAAAATGAGCAGAAAATGGCACAACTGATAAACAAATCAACGTGGCCCTTCTTGCTTCTATTTTTCCCTTTACAATTATTAAATCCACGAGCTTACTTTTATTTTCTCCTCCATTTCTTAATTTTCTTTCCCTCTCTTTCGAAATTACAAAATATCTATGCTTTTTTCTTCTGTTTGGGAAGTAAGAAAAGAGAGAGGAAAATATTCAAGAGGAAATTATATAATTGGAGGATATATTTTTGTTTTGGGAAATTATTAAAATGAAATTTAATATTTTTAATGGGTAAAGTACAAAAATGGTACTCCGACTATAAGATTTTACTTTGTTAAGTCTTTCGACTGTTAAAAGTTACAAAATGATACATTGACTATGAGCATTGCTTTGTTGAATCCCTTTGTAACACCCTCAATCCGTATCTGACTCAGATCTGAGTCTGAGGTGTCACATTGATTTTTAAAATTTTTTTTTCAAATGACTAAAATTCAAATTCATAATTCAAGAAAATGATTACTTTTTATTTATTTAAAACCAATTGGTTTTACAAAACATATAAGAGCAAAATCAACTCAATTCTATTAGTACATGCCAACTATATTCAATATAACAAAATACATAATTGTATACATTTCTTTCCTAATCTGAACTTCGTAAAAAGAGATGTTGGCCTGTCTTGCTCCTCTTAGCTTCTCTTTTCGTTTTCCGAAACCTACGTGTGAAACACTCACACACTAAGTTTACGACTTAGTGAGGCATATAAAATATATATAACGTAAACTATAACTCCTAAAGATGAGTGCATGAATAACTAATGCTATCATATCATACGAAAATATACATTCTTTCTTGTAACCCATACACATATGCACATATTTTACCATCTACGTTCTTATTACTTTCATATCATACACAAGCATATATCCGTTCACACATCAAATCCACACATGCATATAATTATCTTCATTCCTACCATTATCATATTATTGTCATTAATTCCTTTTTATCGTATAATTATATACTTATCATTTATATACATCATATCATATCATATCACCAAACAAACACATAACATCATATAGAATTTACTCATATAATATCTTTTAGATAGCCCATGTACACATGTGAGAACTATAGATATGTGAGTCTATAGAGGTTGTGCACTAATGTTGTCACCACATCTCATATAAATGCACCGAAGTACCACGTAGAATTGCACCGTAGTGCCGCGTAAAAATGCACCGAAGTGCCATATAAGATGTCCCTAAGGACCACGTAAAAAATTCCTTAAGAATCATATACATATGCTAATGACCAAATATGTGTCTCAAAAGGCCTCATACATGTTCCAAAGAATACATATATATCCCGAAAAACCGCGTAGACCATCGACTCTTGGCATGCCAACTATACCTCTAGCCCTCATGACACATAACATGGGCATTATTTTTCATATTTATCACATATTCACATCACTTGTATCATATAAACATGTAATCTCATAACTCGTTTTCATGTAGCTTGTATATCATTCTTGTCATATAACCCATATCATATAGGTTCATATCATGTAACACATATCACATGTGCATGTAATCACATAGATCATATCGTATAACTAATATCATTTCTCTTATGTTCATATGACATGTATATCATTGCCATCTCTTGTTCACATATGTTTTACATAATTCACATATATTATGGATACATAACATGTATCATATAAACAAATATTCCATTCATAATCACATAAACATATCCTTATACTCCTATAATTCAATGCCATTGAACTTACTTCCCTTTCCCATGTTATCACACAGGCATATAATCTTATATGTCCTATCCATAACATATAGACTTATGCATGTACTCATGTGTACTATTTAATATAATTTGCATAATACTACCATATACTCATATCATATAATTTCACCTAGGTCTCCCTTATAGAGTTTATACTACATGTTCATATAATCTTATTTTATTCTATAAGATATTTCTACTCATCTTATCTTACTTTTCCATTTTTACTCATATAAATCATTTATAACTGCTCATGTGATTTAATTTCACTAACATGTATTCATACATATATATATATAATCTATTACTTATCTCACCTTATTTAGATATCAATTTAATATATTTTATTTAGTTTAGTTTCACATGACTCCTATAATACTCTTTTATAAACCTTTATAGTTCTTTACTTTATAACTCCTATACCACCGTTTCCTTTAAGTATATAAATATTTCCTATATTGTTTATCTTATAGTTTTTTATCACCATTTATGTTTATGTCCCCTAATTTATATACTATGCTCATAGATTCTCATAATCTTTCTTGTATCATCATTTATACCCTATAATATAACTTGTACTTGGTTATCCTATGTTTACATATATATCAAATGATTCTTTAATTTTGCTTATATCACATATTCATTTCATTCCTTATATCTTTATCACATAATTCAATTCATAATCTTATATAATCATATATATCATTAGTACTATTTCACATAACTCATCATAGTAACATATATTTACATAATCCATATAACATACATAATAACATGTTAATACATATACTTATGCACGCATATAAATCATAACAAACACATAATTCTATCTATGAATTCATGCATGTACCATCGGAAATAGACTTGTCGCAAGTCCTATTTCCATTAAACATCGTATACTGATTAATATGCACTCACCTGGCCTCACTAGTGAATACCGAACCCTTATCTCTTCTCGAGGACTATTACTTGTAACTTGTCCGGACTTTGCCTCGAACAATATCTACACAATCATGTATACATATCAATATTCCAAATACTATGATTCGATCCTTGATTTCTTAAGCTATAAGAAAGAGTAAATCCCAATTTTCTCTTGCAAGGGTATCAGTACCTCCCCATAAGTATCGATACCCTTATCACATTCTATAATTCTCATTCAAAGAAGGTATCGATACCTTCCTTAAGATATCGGTTCCCTTTGAATGTCTTCCCGGATTTTGCTATTGAGGTATCGGTACCTGATGAATGGGTATCGATACCCCTTGCCCAGAAAATCACTTTTAAGCCCGAAAAATCTCCCAAACTTACTTAATTCTTCTTATATAACCTTCTTTTAACCCTTTAAACTTAACTGCACTTATTCTAACCAACTTATATCACTATAACTCACCTTAATATCCCATATTCTATCTTGAATTTGAAAACCAAGAATCTTACCAATTTCTCAACATGTTCTAAATCCAATTCTATCATTCCAAATCTCTTAATTCAACTATTGACAAGTCAAATTTAACTTCAAATTATACTTATCAATTATATTCCAAATTTTCATTCAAAAACTCCAAATCTTTAATCTCTCATAACTCTTTCATTCTTTGTTTAAAAGCTAACTTAAGCATTCTTTAAGCTTTTCTATCACTCCAAGAATCAAAACCAACTTTAAAACGGGAGAATTAACCAGTTTGAAAACAACTTACCTTATAAATGGAGCCACGTGAAGAGGAGAGGAAGAAGATAACCCCAAGCTCCATAAATTTCTTTCTTTCTCTTCTTTTTTTCCATGTATTTATATCCCTTAAAAAGAGAAATAAAAATCTTTTCTTAGAAAATACCATAATACCCTTATTACTTCCCAACTTTACAATTAAATCCAATATCAAATTCTCCGATAAGGTTCCTAAACTTTTAACTTATTTTCGAAATTGAGCACCAAGTTTTCAGAATTTGCATTTTAGTCACTGACCCAGCTTTTGGGATGTTACACCCTCAACTATTAAAAGTTACAAAATGGTCACTCAAAGATTCATATGTTCCAAACTCATTATTTTTTCATTAAAAAATTAACGACAGTCTGAGTTGAACATTAATCTGTTGATTAAGATATGATAGTAGTTTGAGATTATATGATCAAATTATATCATATCACAATCAACATGTTAATGTCTAACTCAAACATCTTTAATTTTTTAACAGAAAATGATGAGTTTGGAATAGACAAATAGTCGGTGACTATTTTGTAACTTTTAATAGTTAGGGGACTCAATGAAGTAATGACCTATAATCAAGAGCATATTTCGTAACTTTTAATAGTTGAGAGGCTCAATAAAGCAGCATCTTATAGTCCGGTGCCAATTGTGTACTTTACCCTTTTCTAATTTATAGTGTTTGTTGGAAAAAATGGGTAAGCTATAAACATCAGTCCCCAATTTATTACTTTTTTTATTTTAATCATCAAGCTAATTTATTTTAGCAAAAGTGTAATTAATATTACACTTTTTTATTTTGGTCATCGATTCTTCAAAAACAACGACGATATTGACATGATTTTTTTTAAATCACATTTGTTTTCTCTCATCATCGATTGTTTATGATTCTTTTTTAAACAATTTTATTTAAACTAATAAGGTGATAACACATATCACCATCTTATCTAACCACCGAGTTAAGCCAAAAAAAATTGGTAAGTTGATTTTCATTTTAATTGAATAATGTGATAAAACACATCACCACATTATTGATTCAGATAAATTATTAAAAATAACATATAAACCGTTGATGACGAGAGAGAAAATAATATGAAAAATTGAGAAAATAACAATAAAAGTTTTGGGTGATGGTATTGTTACTTTGTTTGTTTTTTAACCGTTTGTGATTAAAATAGAGAAAAATAGAACATTAATAATATTTTTTATTAAAAATATAATTTGGCGAATAAATTAGGAAACAAATAATAAATCGGTGACTAATCAAGTAGTTATCCCAAAAAAAAAGTGGTAGTATTTTGTTTGGTGAATCGATTTATGCCCTTTGGATATTCCAGCAGTTATATCTTATAGGCAATGTTTTGTTTGTGTGTGAGAGCTACGGATTCCAGCAGTTATCATTTTATAATATGTGATTTCAATTAATAATATTTTTTTATCTCATTTTAAGTGAATTTTTATCTCTTTCTTAGTATAAATAAAAATTGAATAGATATTTAAAAGTTATTTTAAATTAATGGATATGATTCATTAAAATTATAAATGACGTGATAAATCGAATCAATGAAATAATTTATCGTTCCACATATTATGATAGTACGCTTGGGTTGCGCGGGGAGCCTCCTCCACAATGTTATTAAAATCGGACCGGCCGACTCGACCGGTTGAACCGTGAATCGGTTGCCTGTCCGGTCCGATCAGCATCCAAAACCAGTTTTGCAATTAACCGCTAAAGAACCGGTTGGAAACCGGCAAAATCGGTGTGAACCGGTTGGAAACCGACAGTTCTTTTTTTTAAAAAAAAAATTAAACCAAACGACGTTTTTTATTTTTATTTTCAGTCCCAAATTTATTTTAGTTATATAATTATCATAAAAAAAACAATGAAAATTAATCTTTGCTTGTTTATTTTAGTTATATAATTATATTTAATATTTAATATATTTTACACCTTTACTTTTAATTGTTAAGTATTGTTTTTAGAATTTAAATTTAACTTTGTATTTATTTATCATATTGCTAGGTGATAAAGATCTTGATGCTGTGGACTAGTTCAAAGTGATGTTATGGAGTTTCAAGTTCAAAGTGGTGATGGCGGTGGTAGTTCAACTAATGAATAAATTTTTTCTAATATTTTGGAAATTGAGGGAATCAATTTCAATGAATATTATGGTATTTGAATCATTTTGTTTCATTTGATATTATGGTATTTAACTTATATATGTTATGACTTGTGATATTTTTATACATTTTAATATTGTAAACTTAAAAAGAGTGATATATATATATATATATATATATATATATATATATTAATATTGCTTTGAATATTATGTAAAATTTTAAAAAAAAATGTTATTTTATATAAATCAGTTCAACCGCGATTTAATCACAATTGAACCTGTAAATCAATATCTTCACTAGTTTAAAATTCGATCCGATTTTAAAAACATTGCCCCTCCATGCACCCCATCTACTTTCCAAAAGCCGCCTATGCCCATGGATGTTAATTAAGCTTGTTTTAGCTCTTACTTTAATGTTTTTTCAAGTACATAAACATTTTTTTTGATGAAATAAAGGTGTAAGCTTGCACCTAGTGTACTACTGCCACATTACAATCAAAGGAATCCTGTTGTATTAAACTAAGAAGTACATAAACTTCTTTAAATTATATTTAAAAAAACATTCTAATTATTTTGGTTAATCCTTATTTTTTTTTTTTTGTAAAGGATTGGGGAAGCCTCCGAACACAAGTAATTTTATTTTTACGAATTCTATGTCATATAATAAAGTTTTACGTGTCTAATAATGATACAATTACATCTCGATTTATTAATAATGTCTAAAAGTATTTATTTTGATCTCGATTTATGTGTGCTTATAAATTTTATATCTAGTAAAATTAGTAACAAGTGGGACACGAGTGATTGTAAAATAATTCAAAGCTTTGGTTATTATTAGTTGGTTTAAATATATAAAAGGTGTACCTAACGTTTATTTCGTTCCAGTTTGATGCCTAACGTTTCATTCCGTTACTCATTTAGGTATTCGGGCTATCAACGTCATTCATTTTCCCGTTAAGTGACATGTGTCACAACTTAGTAATTTTATAAATTTTATTTAAAAATAAAAAAATTAAAATTTTATATATTTTTTTAAAAAGAAAACACAAATTTTTGAAATAATCTCAAAACTTTAAAAACCTTCATTTAAACTCCTAAACCCAAGCTGGGGACGCCACCTTTTGCCATCGACGAAGCTCCCCTCGACCTCCCCTCCCCCCAGCGACCAAAACCCCCCATGAAATCGTGACCGACCGACAGCCAATCGACGATGAATCAACATTTTATACCTCGTAAACCCTAAGATAAAAATCACGATGCTATGGGATTTTGAAGGCTGATCGACCGTCTACTGGTCACGATTTCATGAGGGTTTTGGTCATCGAGGGGAGAGGAGGTTAGGTGGAGCTTCCTCGACGATAAAAGGCGACAGTCGACGTCGGATCAAGGGTTGAAATGAAGGTTTTCAAAGTTTTGGGTTTATTTTAAAATTTGTGTTTTCTTTTTCATATATATATATATATAATTTTAAATAAAGTTTTTAAAATTATCAGGTTATGACACGTGTGATTTAATGACCAAACTTAATGGTCTGTCACGGCTTGACCCATTTTAAGTAACGGAATAAAACTTTAGGCACCAAACTGAAATGAAATAAACGTTAGGTATTAAACTAGAAAAAGGGGCATAGGTTGGACACCTTTTGTATGTTTAAGTCTTATTAGTTGGTTGGCTCTCTCATCGATTGTTAATCCAAAAATCCTGCCCTCGAACGGTCAAAACACGTTAAACCATATTTCTATGTACGTGGAAAGGATTGAAACAAAATCAATCCAAATTTAGGACATGAACAACCTTCCAAAATTCGGGGACATCCAATCACGCGTCATTCAGTCAGCAGCAACGGGGGCCTTTTTATTTGTTCTTCATATGGCAGAGGTGAATCGACAAACGGGGCAAGCTGCTATTTCTCTTGTCCCACAGTTCCTCGGATCTGTACCTCAATAATAAGAACATCCTCCCAGGAGTCCTCGATACAAGAAAAAGAAAAAAAGAATGGCCTTCACCGGAACTTTGGACAAGTGCAAGGCTTGTGACAAGACGGTCTACGTGGTGGATCTGATGACTCTTGAAGGAGACCCTTATCACAAAACCTGCTTCAAATGCAGCCATTGCAAGGGAAACCTTCAGGTATCTCGTTGTTTGTTCACATCGACTTGTTCTAAACATGATTCGAATTAACCCTTGATTGATTATATATTTCCTTTGGGGAGTTTAGTTGATTTTCTTGTGCCACTGACACAGATGAGCACTTATTCCTGGATGGATGGAGTGCTGTACTGCAAGACTCATTTTGAGCAACTGTTCAAGGAATCTGGCAATTTCAGCAAGAATTTTCAATCAGGTAAAAGCCCATTGTCATGTTCTTTCATTCTTTGCACTTTAGCCTAACAAAAATGATCTTGTTTGATGATCACTTTTGCAGGGAAACCTGAGAGAGGTGAATATGTATGTCTTTCTTCCTTTATGAAATATATTTATTATGTAGCACTACTGGCATCGACCGAGGTGTGCTTAATCTTTCGAATCGATTATTATTATTATCATTACACGAAGTTCTTTGCAACATGTTACAGAATAGGACTCCCAACAAACTGTCATCCATGTTTTCTGGAACACAAGACAAGTGCGCAGCTTGTGAGAAAACGGTGTACCCTTTGGAAAAGGTTACCATGGAAGGTGAATGTTACCACAAGACATGTTTTAGGTGCGCCCATGGAGGCTGTCCTCTGACACACTCTTCTTATGCCGCCCTCAATGGTATCCTGTACTGCAAGCATCATTTCGCTCAGCTTTTCATGGTGAAAGGAAACTACAACCATGTGCTTCAAGCAGCTACACACGGGAGGAACAGCTCATCCGCCTCCGACCTTACTGAAGCTCAAGCCATACCAGACGAAACTGCTGCTTCCAATGAAGACCAATCCAAAGAGGAGTCTGAGGATTAAACACGCCACCGGTTCTATATAAATTCCCCCACCATGGTTTTTAAAAGCTTCCGCAATGAACTTTTTTGATTGGGTGGCAGACCATCTCATCAAAGATTTGAAATGTTCTTTTTGGATCCGATTGATTTTCTTCTTGCAATTTTATGATACAAACAACATGCATCAGTTGGTAATATATAATTTGAATAATTCCCTGTTTCTTTTCTCCCAAATTTTTTATACGCAAATTGAAGTAAATGGAAGTACCATTAATTGGGTTAACATTTGTACTTGTTACATGGCATCATACTTCAAGTTCTGCAACATAGAAAATAATCGATTAACATAGAACAAAATAAATAGATAGACGGAAAACTTTGAGTAGATGACAACACCAGATGCCAAAGGATAGTCAATGGTGTTTTTAATTTTAAATGCAATCTCATTTTATATCCTGATTTGCAACATGAATTCACACCCTTTCTCTCTATATTATGTAAAATGTACTTTCACCATCTGCAGTTTTCAGCAGTAACTTTATCATCGATTTCTTCTTCCGAGGAGGATGCAAATTCTCTTCTTAGATTCTCAACCTTCTGTTTCAATTCCGTGTCATCCAAGGCAGCAGAGATCCCCTCCTTGATCTCTGTTTGTAATTGTTCCACCTTTGGTGAACTAGAGTCTTCAGCCATCCCTGCCTTCAATTCTTCGATTTTGCCATGAAGACCAGCTACGTCGACTACCCTTTCAATTTCTCCAACAATCGCTTTCTGCACACTTACAATCTTCTCTTGTAGTTCTGGAGCTACATGTGACTTTTCTCTTTGCCACTCCAACTATTTCCAAGTTTGCTGACTTTAAAACTTCAATCAGCTCTTTCTTAGCTTCTACTGCCTCTGCCACCAAATCTTCATCGAGTGCATCCCCTTTTGACAAGTTTGCCTGAGCATTTTCCAATTGTTCCAACTTTGCTTTGATCTCAGATGGAATCTTCTGGTTAATCTCAGTTTTCAGTTTCTCACCTTTCTCCTTCAGCTCAACAAGTCTGTTAACCATGCTTTAGCTTTTCAAGCTTTTGCTTTAAGCCAAGATAGGCCCCTGGTCTTGACAAATTTTGCTTAAATTCCTGCATAAGTTTATCTGCCTTCGACTTCAAATTACGGTTATGGGTCTGATTATCAGAGGCCCTGGATAACTCCAACTTAAGTGACTCAAGCTTCTCTTGCAAGCCCATTGAAATAAATGCTCTGGTACCTCCTTGTCAACATCCTGCTTAAGTTTCTCAATTGTTTGTTCTGTGATGGGATTTGAAGGTAACTTAGCCTCCAAAATATTCTTCTTCAACTTCTCGAGATCTGATTCTATATCAGCAGCATTCAGCACACTGGCATCCGAAGGCTTCATGTTGCGTTTTCTTTCAGGTTCCACTGGCTTGCCTTCTTGGAAAACTCAAATTGACCGAAATTTAAGCATTCGATGACGAAGCAACTCTTCTGTATTCATTTTTGTTAGTTCTTACGTTCAACATCATTGTAAGTTGTCAATGAATTAGAATTAACTCAAGGAAAGGAAAAGGAAAAATAGTAATCAAATCAATACTGCAACTAAAACATTGGAAAGGTGGGTCCTTCCAGTAGGACACAAAAGAATTTCAAATGCAAAAGCAGGTTGCTTTTTGAAGAAATTATACTGCTTCAAACACCATTCTATGGCAGAACCCCATTGTGCTATTCGAAGTAAATAGAACAAAATCTGTTTATTGGAAATAATATCCTCTAGAAAGTTAAAATTAATTTTCCAGGAAAACAATCATTTTCATTGAAGAAATGATGCTTTGATAATAGGACATAAACACATAATTATACTTGAATGCCACTTTCTTCTTTAGTTAATACAACCTTAAAGGTATATAAAGATATAACCCACTCTAAAATCACTTCAGGACTTCAAAATGCAAATTTATTTCTTTCTTTCTGCACATAGATTTGTTAATATTACTTACATCCATGGCCTTGGTGATTGAAAGTCTAATTTGTAGCGAAGTCCATACTGGATCAGCATGTGCGCCTCCAAGAGGTTCCTATAAATCACAAATAATGAAAAAGCGGACAAAAAAGAACCAGTGTTGTGAAAAACAGCAATTGATTTTTTACTGGATAGGAAGAAGGCTCAAGAGACGGGATAAAACTTAATATGTTCAAGATGCTTACAGGGATGATACCATCAGCAATTTTGCGCTTGTAATGTTCTTGAGCTGTTATCCTCAGTTTTTCAGCTGCCTATACAAGTATGGAACATCATTCCTGACATAAAAGCGGTTCTCGTTTCAACCATCAAATTAAATCACTTACCTTAGGAGCAGCTTGGGAAGATTTCCACAGTATAGCAGCACATGCTTCAGGGCTGATCGGAGAATCAGAGTCAAAAGAGACATGTATTTCAGATTTCACGTCTAAATAAAACAAGAGTACATGAAAAACAAAGACCGCATTGGAAGTATACGAATATAGCTGTAAATATATCTATTGTCTGTTAAGCTGAATTTAAGGAACAGAAGTTATACAAAAACACGTAGATGTACAATAGTTTGGCAATAAGCTGATATTTTTGTTGGTATATAAAGATCACTGACCAAAAAAAAAACTAAAAACTCAAATTAACATGTAAAGCACCTTTCAAAACTTGGACGGATTAATTGTATTTGTGTTTGGTTTAATGAAGTTATGCATTAAAATCTTCAGTTAAATTTTTTACTTTCCAAGAGATGCTACTGAATAAAAAAGGGGGGTGGAGAAGGAACTAATTCCACCTTGCAACATATAGAACAGAGTTCTCAAGCATAAGCAATTTATTGGGACAGGTAATGGCCAGAGCCCCACCAGAACCACCTTCACCAACAACCACCGTTACAATTGGCACTTTAAGGCCAAACATTGTCCTCAAGTTGTGGGCAATTGCTTCCCCCTGTATAGGGGAAAACATGAAACGGGTTATGTTATTATATGAACTGGGTGTTTCAGAATTCATAGAATGAAATATCACAATTTCCAATGTGAGAAGATAGTTTGACACACTTGACCAAGTTCCTCTGATTTGAGATCTGCGTAGGCCCCAGGAGTGTCAACCGATGTTATAATAGGAAGACCATGATGATCAGCATACTTCATCATTCTCAAAGCCTTTCGATAGCTGTTTGTAAAAAGAGCTTTCATATGAGTACTTGTTTACGGATCGAATGTAACAGATAAGATTCAAAACTATTTTCAGTAGGCTTTCTCAAATATTAGAGACTGATCACTTCTCGGTTACCTATGCATCTTTCATGAACTAACATAACATAAGAAAATTCCAGGACAATTCTAATATCAAATAGACATGGCATCTCATGCAAGCTGAGCCTTAAAGTTAATTGTTCAAATAAAATATCCTTGAAACGTACCCATGGGGAGTTGGCATTGCAAAATTGCGAAAAATGCTCTCCTTGGTATTCCTACCTTTCTGCTGGCCTATAAACATGTAGCTCTTACCATCCATGGTTCCAATACCAGTTACCATGGCTGGATCATCATAAGCAGCACGATCTCCATGGAGTTCCACCCACTATATGACAGTAAAAAGAGTAAAACTGTAGGGCATAAACTCAAAAAAGTTGTGTACCATTGAAGTACCTTCTTTGTGATATTTAATATATGATCAAGAGTTGTGGGTCTGTTGGGATGTCAGGCAATGGCCAGGCGTTGAATAGGTGTCAAATGTGTGTATAAATCTTTCAGAGCCTGAAGTTTAGAACAGATAAAAGGTTATAGTTATAGCAATAAGCATTTCAGTGAAAAGTAAATGTGGATTGCAATTTTAGTAGAATATTCAAGCAACCAACAAAGGCCTATGCAAAGATTACTCGGACTGAATCAGTGAACCTCAAACTGTTACAACTGATAAATTAGAAGCCTATGAAAATGGAACCCATGCCTACATTTTGATAAGAGAAATTGAAAACTACCATAAATTTTTAATTTTACACAAATTCAGAAATTTACAAAAATAATGGATGACAAAAATTACTATACCAGAGAATCAATATTAAACAAGGATTCTGCTAGTGAGTATCCTTATTGCACCCCTATGCCATATCATTGTATTAAATGCAATAGATGACAACTTTATTGATGGGAGTCCTTTCACAAAATCCTTAAAAGAAGCTGACAAGATGGAAGAAAGATAACATAAGATTAACCTGTTGATACTTGTTTTCCAAAGCTCCAATTTGATCAGTAAAATCCAGACCGGTTTCATCAGCCATTCTGCATACCTGCACAAAATTGTATTGAGCAAAATAACTAAACATTAGAATTAGAAAGACTTAACATCTCAATTTTGTGCTTACGAACACCTAAAACATCATGTCATAAAGAAAGAAAGTGGCTCCATTTTAAGATAAAAAACAACACAAACATAATATTGACATAACATGATAAAGCTGAATATTGTGTCCCTAGTTTCACTCTTCAGGAATCCTCACCATGTAGCTATACAAAAAGAACGAGTTTTTAAAGAACATGTACAAAAACATTAAAATGCTTCAAATATCCTGAATAAGTAAACAAATGAAATGGAAACCGATGAAAAGCAACTGACCTCAATTATCTTTTTCTCAAGATCAACCAGTGGCTTCTCAAATGGTAGAGTCACCGGTTTCGGTTTCTCATCCAACGGCTTGAAATGAGACAGATAAGTTAAGTATCCATCTTTGATGTTTGGGTCAATATTATCTGGCCAGCCGTAATCATGCTTCTTCCCTTTCTTAACTTTGGCAAAAACACCAAACCTCCTCCCATTTTCATTCCTGGAACCTTTTAAAGCCTTTGACTGATACCGATCTGCTCTTCTAAATGAACTATAAAGCAATTCACTAGCCAAAAAATCCTTCCCAAAATATGAGTTTGACCTGAACTCGAACCTTCCATCTTCAACTCCTCTTCCTCTTCCACCATTTCCAGCTACTAATGATATGGTAGCCATCTCAATAGGGTTTCAAGTCGCGGTCGCGTTTTCGTTCATTTCGGTTTTATCGTGATTGTGGCCGTCGCGGGCGCTATTGCGGGTGTAACGGGTAACTCGGACGAAATCACGTTTTCGGAACGTGATTTGAAACTCTGATACAAACCCTAAAAATTGCTACTGTAACATTAATTTTTAATGTAACAAAGATGCATTCTTTATAAAGTTGCATTAAGAAAATTGATTCAAAGAATCTCAACTTCCTTTCAAACACCATAACTCCCCATGCAAAAAACACATGGAAATTAAAAAAAAGAAGGAACTTTTAACATTCTCTAGCTCACTGCTTTCGGTTACTCAATCATTCGAAGACTATGATCTAACCCAACGGCAGCAATAAAAATAGAAGATTACAAAAAGGTAAGCAAATACAGAAATTCCAACTAAACATATTATTCAATTTAAGCAATAAAAAACCTAATTAAAAGGGGGGGGAAAGAAAATTACCAGAATGTTGATGAGAAAGAAGATGTTCGTGGTTAGAAATTAGGGTTTTAGTGAGTTGAGAATGAAGAGAGTCGAGAGCTAACGGTTGAGATATCACTGCTTGAACAACCAAAAAACAGAATAAGAATGTTAAAAACTTTATTTTAGGTAATTTTACCTAAAATACACCATAACAGCCAAATATTAACTGTGAGACACCGAGGATAATGAAGTGTGCCTTTATTTGAGGTAATTTTACGCAAAAAAAAAAAAACTTTAATAATCAAATATTAACGGTCAGACATCCTTTCTCAAAATATTTTAAAGCACATATTATAAAATGTGATTTCGCAAAATTTTATCTGAACTGACGTCATAATAAAAATGTGTGGATCTTAAAGTACGTTTTTGTGAGATTTTATTTGAATTAACGTCACGTAGTAAAAATGCGGATCATAAAACATTCCTTCAATAAATCTAACACATAATCTCAAATTATAGCATGAAATTAATGGTTTTGTGGAAGAACAATATTACAAAGAGGTGTAGTCAAGAGGTCTTAAACAAAACAAAAGCAAACAATTATATTTCTAGAAGTTTTATACCATATACTAAGAGTTTTGAATATTTACAAGATATTTTTAAATTTTTTATTTTGAATCAAGTAGAATTCGACGGACATGATAATTATGTAATAACGCTTGATTTATTTTACATTCAATTCGTATAATAATTAAAGGTATTTATTTTAATATTTCCACTATTTTTACGAGATATAATATTTATTTATGTCTACATTGATTTCAAAATGTTCCTCTTTTAGACTGTGTATTGACCACATTTATTACACTCATAACGTGAAAAGACTTTGCTTTGCCATTCAGCCATTAGTCTTCTTTCTGCTTCAACAGTTACTCCTCTGTTTCGTCTGCCTTTTATATATTTTCAAACAGGAAACAGACAAGCAGAACAATCCAAAAATATATATTCCCGGGATCCAAACAAACAAAGTGAATTCTTCAACCAATACGTGCTGCATGGCCATGCATGTTCTGATGTCCCATTGTTTTGCCCTGTACACTGTGAACACCTGCAGCAGCAACCATGTTCAAAACAAACGGTGTTAATTAGTTTCTCTTTCCCCTCATTTTCTCACTAAACAAACAAAAAATAAAACGTGGGTGTGAGCTGAATCCTGATTCATGGTTGTGTAAATCCATGCATGTCATTTTCATAGCCATTACTCTAGAAAACAAGGTGTCCTCATTAACTCTTCGCTGTCTGTACAAATTTTTTGTTGGTCTCAATGATGATTTTCAGCGTTCAAGTTTATTAGATAATATAGACTCTGAAGCTCGCATTTAAAGCGCATCTCTCTCTCTCGTTGTACCATCTCTTTTGTATGTTAAATGTTTTACTTCACGGCACTTGTCACTCCAAAACTGTAAGTCTCGCTCTCTTTACTCTTATTACTAGAGTTTCTTGTTAATTTTTGAAGAAATATGGGGCGGACGCCATGTTGTGACTCGGAAAGCTTGAAGAAAGGGCCTTGATCTCCTGAAGAAGATGAGATGCTCGTAAATTACATTAACAAACATGGAAATGGAAGCTGGCGTTCTCTTCCTAAGCTTGCAGGTTCCATTGTTTCTAATGATCTTTACTAGTGATCATAGGCTTTCATGCTAATATATTTCATGGGATTAGCTCATGGACTTTCAAGTTCACGGGGCTTCAGATCTGTTAATACCTCTATTACCATCTGAAATCATGTTTTTGTTCTTTATTTACTGGTTTTTTGCCTGTAGGAAATGTAACCAAGTACCATGTATGTGTTCCATTCATGTTATCTATCATGAGTTGGTACTTGGTACCTTCTTCAAGTTGTTTCATTCATGTTCTTTTTTCATTGCAAGGAGATTTTTTCACCCTGTAAATGATTCTCACCAAGTAGAAACAGTAAATATATATTCACCGGTGCGTGTTGGACTGAATGGTAAAGAACTCGATACTTCTAAAGTTTCGGATTTGGGTCTTGTAGATGAAAAAACAGCCGTAGTAAAACTTTGGTCCCGTTTAAGATCTGACTTCCATATGAAATTCCATTAATTTTTATACAGTTTCTTGACTGGCAGGTCTTCTTTGTAGCGGCAAGAATTGCAGGCTTCGATGGACAAATTATCTAGGCTGGACATAAAGCGTTGTCCCTTCACCGTTGAGGAAGAGGACCTTGTCATTCAGCTTCATGGCATCCTTGGAAACAGGCATGTTGTCCTGTCGGAATTCTAAATGGTTAGTTTTTTGAGAATGGAAAGGGTTTCATTTCTTTCATCTTTAATGAATTCCAGGTGGGCTGCCATTGCTTCTCAATTACCAGGGCGAACCGACAACGAAATCAAGAACCTATGGAACACACACCTGAAGAAACGCCTACTTCGCATTGGTCTTGATCCGAAGACTCACGAGCCAATCACCCCAAGCGATCCAACAACAGCAGCACCTACATCTCCAGCCACCCGTCATATGGCTCAACGGGAGAGTGCTAGACTGGAAGCCGAAGCTCGTCTTTCACAGGAATCATCGCTCTTCAAATCCAACTCTGATTATTTCCTACGGTTTTGGAATTCTGAAGTTGGAGAATCATTTCGAAAGTTGAATAAAGAAGATAAATCTCTATGTCAAAGCCCCATCTTGCAAAAATCTTCATCGACGAAATGCGGATCGGATCGGTTTCAGCTGTTACAGTTGACAGTTGCCCCAACATAGCTGCAAGAAATCAAGTTGAAGATATTGAATGCAAGAGTTTCAAGTCATGCACCAGGATCCGATCAATACATCTAACACATCGTGTTCGAACAAGTCAGATGATTCATCAGATACCGCACTGCAATTGCTGTTGGATTTTCCCATTAACAGTGATATGAGTTTCTTGGAAAACACTGATCCTGATACATATCTACCTCCCCTTCCGAAGATTTCTTGTAGGCGTGAACTTTGATCCAGATTTAAGTGCCAAAAACTAGTTGTATGATAAGGTTATTGCTTATTGGCCTATATTAAACATATACCCGTATTTGATTATCGTTCTCGAATATGAAGAACATCATCTGTGCACCAAAACGTTAACCAATTCTATCATAATCCATATGAGAAAACCCTCAAACTTGTTCTCAAAGAAACAAAAAAAAAATGATATTCCCATATCAACACATTCAATTCAATAATAGATAATTCTGATGTTCTTCCATTCTGTTCATACATGAAAGGACATAGAAACAGACAAGACAGATGATACAGTTGAAAAAGGGGGGGAGTTACAAAATACAAACAAGAAAAAGTGTTGTAATGAAAACAGTATCAATAGAATTTGCTTTGAGACCGAACATGAGATTTTGTAACTTTCAGAAACAGCCGAGGAGCTTTCTCGGTGTGTGTCTGGTTGCGCGGTATTTTGCAGCCATTTCTTCTGCCTTGAGAAGCTCTTCTCCGCGTTTGGCTTCGATCATTGCCTTCTTTTCCTCTGCTTCCTTGTGAAGTAAAGCTACCTTGTTTTTCATTTTCTCTGCATATTCTGCCTTTTTCTTTTCCAATTGTTCCTGCCAAAGCTTCCACATGTTAGAATTACCAGGATTACGGAAATGTGTACTTATATAACACTGGAATGTCTGTATGTGTACGTGTATGTTCATCTTTTCCGCTAAGATTTTACATAAATCGGAATATCTATCTCTAAATGAATATCTAATCGAACACAAATGTTGAAAATATTCATCCTTTCATTATCCAAAAAGGATTGGGGAAAAAACGTACCTCAATTTTTCTCAGGTTTGCTTCCAGAGCTGCTTTCTTGCTGTTCTCCCATGCTACAGTAGCAGAGAGCTTTTTCTGGGCCCTGCTCACCAGTTTCAGTAAAGTTGATAAGATACATACATGCATGCATGCATACATACATCTATTACATTATATAAATATATTCATATTTATATGCAAGACAAAAATATAGTAAAGAAAAGAGGGTTTTGGGACTTGCTTGTTCTCCGCTTTGGTCTTCTCACTATCTTCCCATGCCCTGATGAATGACAACCTTTTCTCCTTTTCAACCTCTGCAAGGGCAACGTCTGAAAAAAAAGGGGGGGGGACCAATCTTAGAGCCACAGTGGCCTACAAAAAAGGTCCGAAGGGCTACCAAATAGTCTCCGATGATAATGATGGTATCAGAAAGAGAAGTATACCTCTGTCATGTGAGCCAGTCGAAGTTTTCTTTGGTTCTGGCTCCGGAGCTTCTGTCAAAATGAAAAATATTGTTGGAACACACTAGAAGAATATCTTGAAAATTGGCACATCATTTGAGTTAAACCAAAGCTCACTCATTTTTTAATCCATGGAGAGAACTGAGGTTGAAGAAAGAATATAGTAAAACTTGATCTAAAACTATAAGCAAAAACTGGGAAAATCAAAGGAACTTGTATCGATTTATATAACATTGGATTTGGAATCTTAAAAGCAAGTAAAGAAGTCAGGTTGTCAAAACAATGAAATAAAGTTCCCATAATCGTTTTAGTAAATGCCACATGATAAGCAAATCGAAGAACAATGGTTCACAAAAGGCAGGAGCTTTAACATAATCCAGATCATATATGCCGCTCTGCCAGCCTAATCATATTACACAACTTCGCTAATTCTTTAGTTTAAAACAGTGCTGAATGTTGTAAGTTCAAACTATAAATAAAACAAAAAAAGGTGAGTGGCAACAAAGCTTACTCTCAACTACCACAAGAGCTTTCGATTCTTCAGGTTTTTCCTCCGCTGGCGGTGGAGCTACGGTTGTTTTCTTGGAATAAGCGTTCGGAACCTCCGCAGCCGGCGCTGGAGGAGGAGCGACTGGCGTTTCAGCTGCAACTTCCTTCTTCATTTCCTCCGCCATTATTAAGATTACAAGTGCACAGCTGTCGGGAAAACAAAAAAAATGACAATTTCGTGATGGATATGATTCTATGTTGTGAGAACTGGCTTTAATGCTGGATTTTTATACCTGCATAGTTTGTAGTCCCGTTATTTTGGATCCAACGGCTACTCTGTTTCGAAAGAGACAAATATTGTCATGCCGACAGGTAAAGCGGTTAAACTGTGCCACGTATGTCGGCAAATGAGATTCGACGACGAAGAGTAGATTTCAAAACATACACTTAAAGGGTAAATTACGCCTTTTCATCGTTCAATTTTAACCCTCTTTTTTTTATTTTGATCACTAGATTCAGAGAAAAACGACTATAATTTACAAGTTTTATTTTTAAAAAATCTATTTTACGATAAACAAATATGTCCTTATCGACTATAACAGGAAATATATCAAAGGAAAGTGATGGGATTGCTGTTTACCCTAAACTTTTGGCAAAACTAACGTGGTGTGGTGATGAGGGGGAAGGGCCCGCCAGCGGTATTGATTGGTTTGACGGATTAAAGGGGGACCAATTTGTCTTCCATCATTCTTCTTTCATATTTATCGTCACTGTTAACTCAATGATAAAACAACTTTAGTGTTTGCTTTAGACATGCCCGTTACAACAATTACATGTCTAATGCTGTGCTTCCTTCATTACCACAGTATGCGGTTGGGCTTAGACCAAATGAACCCAATCAACTGAATTGTTCGACGACGCCCAAGTCCAATAGATGATATATTCACATTTATACCGTTGAATTTTTAATTTTGTCAATTGTACCACTGAACTTTGATTTTCGTTTCAATTATACAATAGAATCGTTAAAACGTTAACGACACGATAATATGAAGAAAAACTGTTGAAGTGGTTGACAGCTACCGACATAAACACTTCACCAAAACAATATCGTTTTGATCCGTTTGTTAACAATTTGACATATCAGTGGTATATCTAAAACAAAAATCAAAATTCAGTGTTACAATTGACAAAATTAAGAGTTCAGTGATATAAAATGATACAATGCCTAAAATTCGGTGCTATCTAGTGTAGTTTATCCTAAAATATAATGATGAACAACCAATGATGGTCTAATAAGCAAGAGCGTGGATGATTGAAGCAACGACATATAAAGATGGATTACTCCGACATCCCCAAGCACCAAACATAGAGGAGGAAACTTGAATAATAGCCAAAGTAGATGAAAAAGCTTGATGCATTGGAATCATTGGATTTAGGTAAAAATATTTCGCAAAGTTTTCATTTTTCATGCCAAATTATATGTTTTTTTATGCTGATGGTTGTAAAAATCATGTTTTATAGAACTTGAAATGATGAAGGAAAGATTTGCAAAACTTTTACTTGGAGAAGACATGTCTGGAAATGGAAAAGGAGTCTGCACGACTGTTACCATCTCAAATGCCATAACCAATCTTTATGGTACATAGACATGACTGTGTTTTCAAAGTTTTCATTCAAATCTTTGAAATTTGCTTAGTTTTACGTTGAATGTTGATTACTGCAGCGACTGTATTCGGGCAAAATTTGAGGTTGGAGCCTTTGAACCCTGAAAAGAAGGCACTTTGGAAAAGAGAAATGGACCGTCTTTTATCTGTCTGTGATTACATTGTATATTTGCTCCAACCAAGTCACAGAATTTGCGTAATGGAACAGCTGTTGAGGTAAGGTTTTCATGGTCCGAACCAAAGCCATCTCTGCTGATTGATTGATTAACCCCCCCCCCCCCCACACACACACACACACCCCTTTCAATCATTTCTGGTTGATAAATGCTAAACCAAGCATTTAATTTCCACATTTTTTGTAATTCCATGAACAATTTGATTCCTGTTACATTTGGACCATTTTTTTGTACATTAGAATCCTATTCATTAACGAATTTCATTGCAACAATCTGAGATTCCAAATTGCTGAAACAACAATCTGAAATAAAAAGGTAAGAAGAAGAAAAAGGTGGAAACTTAGAACTTACTTTCGGGATTGATTTTGTCAACGAAGAAAAGGATGGAAAATACATGTATCTGATTTAAGTAGTAGTTATGGTGATAAATGGACAATGAAGAAAATTATCTCAAAAACCCTTGAAGAGCATCCACTGCTTGAAGTCGAAACCTGAGGTCAATTCTTCCACTCTAAACAAAATCATTGACCACTCAGATTCTCACTCTTCAAAGGTACACCCCGATGGAAATATTGCTTTACTAAGAGTATCTCGCCCTCTTATGCGACTTCTTTGGGGAAATTAAGATGGATGTGTAGGACTTAATTGCTTACTGATTCCGCTTCCGGGTTCCTCGTCACTGTTGATGTTGCTCGGAGTGATCCGATTCTGGTATGCTCTCCGCCGCAAAATGAAGACATTGAAGTGATAACAAACGAGCTCTTCCCGACTTTTCTTGGGGAAACACTTGTGGATATCCTCCCAGAAAGATTTTTCTAGCGACGGAGGATTCGACTTCACTATAGATGAAAACATCTTCTGTTGTTCCTCCGCCCATGCAAAAGCAACATCTTCACCCATCTTATCGAATTTCCATTTGTTGAAAGCTGATCCAAGCTCCAGCTTTACTCTCAATCTCTTCTCTCTAATATGAAACTTTACACATTGTACAGAACCTTGAAGGTGGCAGCCACATGAATCCGGTCTCCCCTTTCCTATCAGAGACCTCTTTTCCATCTTCTCCAATGGCCACACACGAGTCCCCAACCACTTTGCTTCGCTTTCGTATACTACTCCAGTCCACTCCGGTACCTCTGCTTGAAATAACGGTCCAATCGGAACTTGAATGTCGACATCATAGTCGAACACCGAACCCGGAGTTATAGAATCACGAATCCCATGCAACTGTTTGTCGATCCCTATCATAGAACTGTCGGATGTCTGTGACCGAGCCTCTCCTTTAGATGCCGTTTTTCCGAAAAAGACCTTCCTCGTGAAACTCAGCCTCTCTCTGAGGTTGTACCCGGGCTTCCAGTTATCGCCATACGTGCAGGGATGCATCTTCTGGTTTTTCTACAGAGTAAGCATACGATGGAATTATTATAATTATCACATTAATGAGGAGGTGGGGGGAACACACAAAGGAATATGATGAAATAAATTACTGCACAATACACACGCAGCAAGGAAATATATGTATAATTTCATGAAGTGGATCATCTAGTGAAAATAAATGGACAAAATGGAAGACTGGTAACGATAAATATTAGTGATCGCATAATAAAACAAATACGAATTTTATATGAAAAGTTTTAGACGAAAAAATTCAAGAACAGAAAAGAGAAATTCAGTAAAAATATCACAATTACAAGAATTTACAGCTGCATGACCTCACAAATTCTAAGGTTAGTTACTTAATGAGAAAGAAATCTAATATTATAAGGGAATATAATCCTACATTGGATTTGCAGCTAGCTCCGCCACCACCAGTTGGGTTTAGTGGTAACCTTCGACCCGAGAGCCGCCGCATTCACCACATACCCTCTTTTTCTACCAACTAATTTCTTCGATCAAGCAGGTGACAACGGGAATTTTTCAAATCAAATAAAAACAAAATTCGAGTCACAAACTTTACCAATTTTTTATAACATCATTATCATATTTATTAATGAAACACAAAGTTGTTACAAATTTATTAACTTTTTAATAAAAATAGTTTTTATACATTTTTATTATAATTTAAATAGATATATTTTGTATGGGTTAAGATCCAGTTATACTTAAATGTAAACTTTTTTACACCTAAATAGACGACTGAGATTATCTCTATATTTTTTTAATGAATATTTTCTCATTTTCTATTATTAATCTCAACTATCTATTTCACTGTTGTGAAGAATATATATGTTCAGAACAAAAGTGACTGTTTCATCAATAGTGCTTCTTTCAAATAGTATCAAGATGACTATAATAAGAGACAAACGAAGGATTTTATATTAGAATGTGAATTTATAAAATTTTAAGAGACAAAAATAGATTATCAATGAAAATTGAAAATATAAAGAAAATATCTAAATTATATAAGAATTTTTTTCCTTTGCCAGCTCTCGAAGCTAGACAAGGATGAAGTGACAAGCACTTAACCACTGAGGTCAAGAAGAGAGCAGTATTTATATAAGAATTTGAAATTTTCAACGGACGACCCTATCCTTTGATTATTCATAAGGAGCTAATAAAGCATGATGGAGCATTGTTCATGCAGACTACCTCCACAACATTCAAAGAAGTTGGAATTAAATAATGACACAAATTATTCTAAGATTCAATTAACAACATGAACAATAAATGGCACAGGTTCCAAGTAAACAGATATCTGACTTGAATTAATGACTAAAAAGCAGGCAAGCTATAACAATGGGTGGTATGTACCTGCAAATTGGCCTGACCAGCACTTGAATGATTATCATTTCTGCGAAAGGCGACTTCCCGGAACAATAAAACTTGCTTCCAAAGCTCTTCACTCCCATAAGCCTTCCACTTTGAACTGTCCGGTAATGAACCAATCACCAAATGACAAGGATCCTTTGCAACTTCAGTAACCCAATTAAGCATTTCCCATGTAGAATCCTGCTTCCGTTTATGAGATGAAAATTTTCCTTAACATCATTTGAATCCAATATCATAACATCATCGTCGTCATCACTGCATGTGCAATCCTCGTCGTCATTACACATTGAATTGACTGCACTTTTCGCCATATCTGAAGGCACATCTTCATCATCGTCAACTAGAATGAACTTGTTGTCACCCTCTGAATCAAACACCACGCTCTTTAGATCATGGTCGTTCTGCAAATTTTCAACTTCCTCATAACGCAAAACCCTGTTCATCAAATCAATATGAATGGATTCTTCACCTTTTACACGTTTCTCTCCTCCATCTGAACCCGCTACTATATTCTCCTCCACTTGCGAATACTCTATAATTTTCTTCTTTGATCCCAACAAAAACCATTTAAGCTCAGCTCCCAGTTCCATCAACTGATCACTACAGTTTGATTCGCTCTTTGAGTCCTCACTTTGAGCAATTCTTTCCAAGCATCTCTCTAACGAAACTAAGTAGTTAATCAAGAAAAGCTTAAAAAGATCCACAGGCCTTCCATCTGCAAGCAATGGAGGATGAGGCCAAAAACAACCTTGGGCACAAATTTCTTTCAAAAACAACCCAAGGAATTTGTTAAACCAGAATCTAAGCTTGTTGGGTTCAGATTTCAAAAACAGCGCTTCGGAGAAGGGCTCGAGATCGACAAAAGAGGTAGCTGGCCCGAGCTTTTCTAGGTATTTAGCGCAATCTAGTGAAGGCCCATCAACAGCTCTCAACGACCACCCTGTCATGGATTCCGATTTCAATACCTAGAAACAAATAGTTCTCTCTATAATCTTTCATTATTCGAAAAGAAAAAAAAAAGAGAGCAAATTCAAACAACTCTGGGACCAAAACGATAAATGAGTAAGAAAGCACCATAGAAATATTTAAGTTTAAAATACAAACTAAATCATCTGGTCCTGCATGATAGATAATTTTGGCGGAAAAATGAAAATTTAGTAATCTAGGGTTTTGGATTGTTAAATTCGGTTTTGTCCCGCGCTTTCTCTCTCTTTCCCTTAATCGCAGATAGAGCGGAGGAGGAAAGATTAGACCTTTTGGGGGCTAAATTACAAGTTTTGCAATAAATCGAGTATTGAGAATTATACAAAGTACTGAAAGAACAGGATAAAAATACCTGTATTTTTATTTGGGTCCTCCTTGGTAGGATTTTGAAGACAATCTATCCCTTGGACTCTCTTTGTTGCCTTTGGGTTTCCCCCCCCCCCCCCCCCATCTATTTCTCACTTTGCTACCTTCGTTTTCCCTCAATACTCTCTTTCTACCCCTTCCTTTTGCAAGGGTTTTATTAAGCCCTTCTTTTCTCTCCTCTTCTTTTCTTTCTACCTTGGGAGGAGTTTGACTAGGGTGGGTAAGGTTTCAAGCAAAGGCTCCAAAACCCCTATTTTAAAGTAGCTATTGGGCATAATTAGTTAACCATGGGTTGAGACTGAGAGGGGTCAGGGGTATGTTTGGTAATTCACAAATACAAGTTAATTTATAAAAGAAAAGAAAAATGAATAATCTTTTATAAGTCTTTAGATTTAAAGACGGTAATTTAACCTAAATTTGATAGGTTATGACCCGATCCGATTTGATAAGGTCGATTTTTTTAAAAAATGGTTTGTGCCAGATTTTTTAAGGGTGGAGTCGTGTCAGGTTGAGTTCGGATGAAAAGTGAAAAAACTTCGGGTCGGATTTATTTTTAAAAAAAATATTATTTTTTTAAAATTCAATCCTTATTTTATATCATGTAGGGTCGGATTTATACTCTAAAAATTCGAATCGGGTCAGAGTTGGATGAATGATATAAAATTTTCGGGTCGATTAAGATTTTAATTGAGGGTGTACGACACGACCCTAATCCAACCCGTTGCCATTTTTATTTATATAATAAATTGATAACAATTGGTATATTTTAAATGCGATATTTGAATTTTATTGACCGACTTGTTAGATGCGAGATTTTGAACTATGAACTATTAGTTAACTTCAAAGTCAAATATCTTTTCAAACGATACTAGTGAATGATAATTCTTACCGAGGTGTGGATGGAAGACGGATGACTGAAGTTAAAAATTTTAAATTTTCATATAATTTAAGTATTTATTTTATATTTTTATTGTTAAAATATTTTTATTTTTAAAATTTTATAAGTTTGTCTCTGTAAACTTTTATAATTTTATTAAAATATTATTTTTATATCTATTCGTAGCTCTGAAATATGATAAAAAAAATAAAATTATTAGCATTTGTATCTCCACAACAATCTCGTTTAGGGACAGATTCGGAATCTTACAATTTTAAAATTCCACAAGCTATATATTTTTTGTATTTTCTTATAAGCGTTCTTTAAATTCATAAATTCTAACAATTTACCTAAATAAAATAGTAATAAATGAATTTCCGTACAACTAAAAACAAATTCTTTAGAGTTTGAGCTCGTACGTACGTTGATTAGTTTTAAATTCGAATCTAAACAACAAATTTTAATTATTTAATTTTAAAAATATAAAAACATTTAAAAATTTTAAAATATATATATATATAATATTAATTATTAATTAAAAATATTTTAGTTATCTATAAATTAAAACAACATCAGTTAGTTTGTGACATCAAATTAACAAAAATTAGTAATAAAAAAAATTTAAATGGTTAAGCCAAGTGTTGGGCTTTCAAAGCTTATATCTACTTCCATTTAATGGGTCAAATTTGTGAGTTGGGTAAAGTGATTCCACTCGTAAACATTTTTGTTTTGATTTTCAAGCAAAGTTTTTTTAAGAGGTACCAGCTGAGCTATTTATTGAGTAAATTAAAAGGAAAAAGCATCAAACTTTATGGTTTATCGAGAGTAAAATAGGCAAATTTCATCACTTGTCACTAATTTATCATTAATATAATGAATGATTCATTCAGTTAACCTAATGTTATAAACATTTCATTTTATAATTATGCGTGTAACAATTGTTTGAGTTTTTGGTTATAATTGAGTGACTAGATTGTAATAATAAATAAATTATATTATCTCATTATTATAATTGATCAATAAAATGATCTAATTGTAATTAAAAACTTAACACCAGTTTTAGATTTAACGATAGAGTGATGTATTTGTAACGTTCAATTAATCAAGAGATGTATTTGTAACTTCTTAAACTTTAATGATCAATTTATAACTTTATTAATAATTGAGTAATATATGTATTATTTATCCATAAAAAATTTTGTTAGTATTTTTTAAAATTAAATAATCAAATAAGAATCTAACCTTGTATTACTTGATAAAGCTTGTAACCTCCTTAAAAGAAATCTCACATTCTCTGCATATCTTACAAAATTTGGATATGAGGGGATTTAGTTAAGTATTAATAAAGCATTCATCAATTAAATTAAAGCCTTCCACCGTAAATATTGTTGATTTACTCACGGCTGAGTTGTAATCATATATTTAAATTGGAAAATATTATTGAATTTCGGTAAAGCAGTAGATAAAGATAGTTTTAAAAGATATATTTATTTAAAGAAAGTATTTTACCATAATAAATTAAAGCTAATGAAATAATTAAAATATATTAATGAATCTGAAAAGTGAAATCTTTTAAATGCGCTCCCAAAAAGACATTCTAAAAGCAGTCGCCACCTCTGCCTATAAAACTTGACCATCGTCCCCCCTTTAAGACATTCTTCAGCTTTCACATAGCTCCTGTGTTTTCTGTTTATTGTTCGTCAAACAGCTAAGTATAAGTGTTCTTATTTTCTCTTCGAGTCTTTGCTCTGTGAATCATTATGGGGTCACCATCCGAGTGAACGTAGGTTTTCCATGAGTTACGCCCTTCCGATGCATGGTATCCACATCCTTCAATCGTTTTCTGTTGTCTTTCTTTATTGGTTCTTTGTTGTCGATTGATCTGCTCCTCTAAAGCTACCTCTTTAGTTTGTTATTAGTTCAATTTATTTATTCCGATCAACTCTTTAAAAAAACAAAACAAAAAACTTCCCCCCTGAGATGGCTACCGTGCAAAAGCCGGCGGGTTCCTTGGATTTCGACGAGAAGAAAAGGAAGAAGATGGAGTCGAACCGTGAATCGGCAAGGAAGTCACGTGAGAAGAAAAAGAAGCAGATGGATGATTTGACCAACGAAGTGAGCGCATTGCATGAAGAGAAGAACGACTTAATCAAAAAAGTCATCCTCTACACCGAACGATTCATGAATTCGGAATCTGCAAACAACGCGTTAAGGGCTCAAGCAGCGGAATATACCAGCCGGATAAAGTCCCTGAAGAAGACGCTGCAGCTGCATTATGCGAGACAAGGCAGCGGGTATGCCCCGGAGGTCACAACTCACAAATCCTCTGATGCAGCCGTGACTACCCTCCTTTTCGACGGTGCCAATTATTTCGGCGGCTGATATGATGGATTCCGATGGATGGACTTCTCTTTCTCGTTGTGGTCGGTTTAATTAATATTTAATCGCTCATAGTAATTCTTAGGTATTATAAATAGCCATAGAAAGTATAGCAAAATAATTTCATAGACATTACAATCCATATCATCTTTACCTTATTCATAAAGTTATTGTTATTATGAATATTTGAAATAAAATCTTTTATCTTATAGTATATAATTAGATTGATGTTAATTTAGATTTATTACATACAATTGAATTGATATTAATTTATTATATGTTAGATACATGTTACATGTATTTCATTTGTATGCATTAGTATTACAATGTTTCGTATCAATTTCAAAGAATTAAATATAAATAAAGTTACATAATATAATTAAGTTGACAAGCAAGATTGCATTTAATAATTTAATTAAACTTATTGTCAGATAAAATTGATAACTATCTCCAAACATTAGGATTTATGTGGAGGTGCAAGGATTATTTTAATGCAAATAAATGGATTTTACTCCTATCAGAAACCTGCAAAGCTCTGCTATATGGGAAGTGGGCATTTGGTAGGAAGCAGGGGTGGGTCAATTACATCCTCATTATATTGGGAAAATAATTAAATTTAACTTAATGTGTTAAATTAAAATGTAAAAAAAAAATTGCATACCCATTATTTTTAAGAAAAAATTAAAATTTTATATCCCATTTTTAAATTTATGAATCTGCTTCCAGAAAATTTGTACAACAAGTTGAGTCAAGCCAATGAAGCTAGAGATGCCAAGCTTTTTGGAATCGGTCCCGAAAGATGGTTGTGCGACATATTCAAGACGCGTAGCTCGATATGGTTTGTCATCTCAACCGGGATTTCTCCTATAAGATGGTTGAATTAAATATGAAAAAATAAAGTTAAATAATATAATTAAGTTGACATTCAAGATTACATTTAATAATTTAATTAAACTTATTGTCAAATAAAACTGATAGCTATCTTCAAACATTAGGATTTATTTGGAGGTACAAGGTTTATTTTTATGCAAATAGATGGATTTTACTCCTATCACAAACCTGCAAAGCTCTGCTATATGGGAAGTGGGCATTTGGTAGGAAGTGGAGTCCCACAAAGCAATGGATTCCCCTCATAAATGGAGGAATTGTTAAATCTTGTTACAAAGGGAATGCTTCCTGAAAAGTTGTTGTCGGACAAGTCGAGTCCAATCAATGAAGGTAGAGATGCCAAGCTTTTCGGAATCGGTCCCGAGAGATGGTTGTGCGACAGATTCAAGATGCGTAGCGCGATAAGGTTTGCCATCTCAACTGGGATTTCTCCTGAAAGATGATTGCTTGAGAGGTCTATGCTGTTCACGTTTGCCTCGACGCTGTTGTATTCGGGATCTCTTCCTCTTGTTACCACCTTTATTAGCCCTTCGAATACATCGCTGCCCTTTCCGTTCACCAATGCGGTCAGGTTACCGATACACTTAGGAATTGGCCCTGAAATATTGTTGCCGGAAATATCTAATATGTGAACGTTTTGAAGCCTGCACCACTCATCAGGTATGTTCCCACTTAAAAGGTTGGAGCCGAGACGTAGCATGAATAATGAAGAAAGATTTTGTACCCACAAAGGCAGAGTCCCCGACATTTTATTCCCTCCGAGGTCCACGCTTGTCAAACCTGAGCAGTTTCCCAACGAGGAAGGGATTTCGCCATCCAGATTGTTGTTGCTCAACAGCAGCACACTTAGAGAAGGAAGAAACCCCAAGGAGCTCGGAATGTTCCCCGTCAAGCTGTTATTCGATACGTCGATTCCCCATAACACAAACGATCGATGCCAACAGTTTGGGAGTTGTCCACTAAACATGTTGTTTCTTAGAGAAACAATGTTAAGGCCCTCTATATCACACACTGATGATGGGATTCTCCCGCTCAGATGGTTCCTAGAAACATATAATTTCTTCAATCTTGGCATCAAGGCTCCAATGTTTTCCGGTATTGGCCCGGAAAATGAATTTTCGTGGAGCAATACATCGGTTGCATTAGTGGACCAAGAAGGGAAAGGACCACCAAAGTTATTGCAACTCAGATCGATGAGATTTAAATTCGGATAACTCAACTGGTCTGGCAACTCCCCCCTGATTCGGTTTTGAGATAGAACCAAATAGTTTACTTGAGCAGACACTAGAGAAAACCATTTCCCTGGTATGGTGTCGGATATGCCAACATTTTTTAAGATGACAGAGGTAAGTTGATTTTGAACTTGAAGCCATAAAGGAAACGAGGGACCTACCATGCAGTTCTCAAGTTGAATGGATTTAAGTTTGAAAGGAGGAGACCATCCGTCCGACACACCGAAAACCAAGGAACTCGTCGGCTCTGTTGTGAGACGAACATTCTCTAGTTTTCTGAGGTTCATGAAGTGGGTTTCTTTTAATATACCATTCCAAGAATTTGCCATAAGGTTCAAATCGACTAGCCACGATAGTTCCCCTAGACTTTCAGGAATTGTACCATTCATCATGTTGTACGACAGGTCTAATTTTATCAGCTTTGACAAGCTTCCGATTGATGTCGGAATCGAACCCCAGAAAGAATTGCTAGAGAGATCCAGATGTTGTAAATGTTTAACCGATCCTAACGAGTTGGGCAGCTCCCCGATCAACAAGTTAGAACTGAGATCTAGTGTCTCCAACTTATTGTTTGGACTACCTGAGAAACCACTAAAAAGCTCATAAATGTCACCATGGAAATTGTTTGCAGACAGATCTAGGAACTCTAGTTTGCTAAGATTGCCAAAGAATTCAGGAATTTGGCCCTCGAGGTTCAAATTATCAGACAAATCAAGTACTCGGAGATTTTTGAGGTTTGCAAATTCAGCAGGAATGGAACCGCTGAAAAAGTCCCATGTCAGATACAGTTCGGTGAGACCGGTGAGATTGAACAACCATTGAGGAAATACAGAGTTAAAAGAATTCTCCGACAAGTCAAGAACCGAAAGTGAGGTGAAATTAATGGATGGGAGCGTCAATGGTAGACCTTGAAGTTCACACCAGTGCAAGCGTAATTCTACCAAGGAGGGAAGCATATTCAACGTGTGCAGCCAGTGATCAGCTACGCCATCGAGTTTGGAGAATCCCAGGTTTAGATATTTCAAAGAAGAGAGAGGCGTAAGCCATTCCAGACTCTGTGAACGTAACTCCCGAGGACCTGTACTACTGAAGGAGTCGGCATAGAGGTCCAGGTACTCCAAACTCCACAAATTCTCAAGCGAAGCTGGAATCTCTCCGGCAAAAGACGCGAAAGAGAGATTGAGGTACCGCAGACTTTTGAGCTCCCCGAAGAACTGGGGAATTTCAAGGCCTTCAAAATCATTGAGGCTAAGGTCCAGATAAGTGATTTGTTCCAATTGAAGCAGAGACGAGTTGATCTCACCTCCCAGACATGAGCTTTTGTATGATGTTCGATCTCCGTTGATTAAGTGGTATGGGTTTCTAAGGTCGAGCTCGGTGACACGTCCAGTTTGGTTGTGGCACTTAATACCTTTCCATGTGCAACAATCTTCACCGGACCAGGAAGAGAGCCTGCCCGAAGGGTCAGTGAGAGCTTCTCGGAGGATGATCAGTGCTCTTCTTTCGGTGGCTGTGCATTGGATAGGTGTGGAGCGGACGAGAAGCAGTGAATTCAAATTGAAAAGGAAGAGGAAAAGCAAATATGAAACAAGGAGATAAGGCTTGTTAGCTGCCATAGCGATGGAGTGTGGGGGAATAGGTTGAGATGTTGAGTCCAAATATTTGGAGAGTGGGTGCTTTTTATCCATGATACATAATTAGTGGGGCGGCCTATCCATGATACATAATTAGTGGGGCGGCCAGCAACTTGGATTTGGGGGTTTTATATAAGGAAATACGGATTAATATACGGTTAAGAAACAAAATAATCGAAAATTTAATAAGATAATTAATAAATTCGGTAAAACGTTACTTGAAATGTTGATAAGCTCATAATGTTGGAAAACATGAATAATTATTAAAAAAATTGGTAACCGATAAACTTTAATTATCGGTAGGTACTAATACATATATATTTATAAGTATTCATACTTTAATGTGGAAAACAATAATTTAAGGTTATATTTTGAGTGAGTTTTAATTATAAGTGTCTAATGACTTAATTTCATGTTACGGTATATATTATTATTAATTTAAAAATAATAAACATATATATTACATATTTATTATTATCTTTAGTTAAAATTGTTAAATTTAAATTCTAAATAATATTTTATAAAAAAATCTAAATAATCAAATAATTTTTTATCTAAATGAAATTATTAAATTAATGATGTAGGTGAAAAACATAAATAACTAATAATTTTATGTGTAAATGAAATTACTAAAAGTATTTATATCTATATTGTATGTATCAATATTTATATTTAAAACTTAACCGATTAAAATAAAATAGGTGTTACCTATTATGTTAAACTACATACCGCTTTTTTGAAGGTTACTAATAATGTAAACGGTAAAATAAAATAGGTGTTACATATTACGTTAAAATATCTACCGGTTTGTTTAAAGGTTACTAATAATGTGAACATTAAAATAAAACAGACGTTGCCTATTATGTTAAATAGGTGATATCTATTACGTTAAATAAGTGTTACCTATTACGTTAAACTAGCTACTGGTTTGTTTAAAGGTTAATAATAATGTAAACGGTAAAATATATACAACTTAACCGCTTGAATTTTTTTTAAAATTCGAAAAATATGGATACTTACTCTAAAAGTACAGATACTCTAAAGGTTAATAATAATGTATCCATACTCTAAAAGTATGAATATTGTTTCGACAGTAATGTAAACGGTATAATATATACAACTTAACCGTTTGAAATATTTTTTTAAAATTCGAAAGTATGAATATTTACTCTAAAAGTATGAATACTCTAAAGGTTAATACTAGTGTATTCATAATAATAATGTATACATTCTTACTCTAAAAGTATTGATATTTGCTAAAATATCGACCATCAAATCATAATAGTATAGATATTTATTTTAAAAATAATTGACATCCAAAAATATGTAATGTATTAAATCATAACAATATCATTAAACACAACTTTAATATTTCAGATTGCAGCCTATTTTTTTATTCAAAATAATAATAAGAGTCTAATGACTTATTTTTATGTTACTGTATATATTATTATTAAATTAAAAATAATAAACATATATATTACATATTTATTATTATCTTTAGTTAAAATTATTAAATTTAAATTCTAAATAATATTTTAATTTTTTTGTATAAATAAAATTATTAAATTAATGTTGTAGGTGAAAAAATAAATAACTAATAATTTTTTGTTTGTAAATGAAATTATTAAAAGTATCTATACCTATATTGTATGTATAATAATTATATTTAAAACTTAACCGGTTAAAATAAAATAGGCGATACATATTATGTTAAACTACCTACCGGTTTGTTTGAAGGCTATTAAAAATGTAAACGGTAAAATAAAATAGGTGTTACCTATTACGTTAAAATACCTACCGGTTTGTTTAAAGGTTACTAATAATGTAAACAGTAAAATAAAATAGACGATACCTATTATGTTAAATAGATGCTACCTATTACGTTAAATAAACGTTACCTATTACATTAAATTAGTTATTGATTTGTTTAAAGGTTAATAATAATATAAAAGGTAAAATAAAATAAGCACCATCTGTTACGTTAAAATATCTACCAGTTTGTTTAAAGATTAAGAATAATGTAAGCAAAAAAATAAAATAAACGAGACTTATTACGTTAAAATACCTACTAGTTTGTTTAAATGTTACTAATAATGTAAAGGATAAAATAAAACATGTGTTACTTATTATGTTAAATATGTGTTACCTATTACTTTAAACTAACTACCGGTTTGTTTAAAAGTTAATAATAATGTAAACGGTAAAATATATACAATTTAACCGTTTAAAATATATTTTTTTAAATTCGAAAGTATGAATACTTACTCTAAAAGTATGGATACTCTAAATGTTAATAATAATGTATCCATACTTACTCTAAAAGTATGGATATTGTTTGACAGTAATGTAAACGAAAAAAATATATACAACTTAACCGTTTGAAATATTTTTTTAAAATTCAAAAACATGTATACTTACTCTAAAATATGGATACTCTAAATGTTAATAATAATGTATTCATAATAATAATGTATCCATACTCTATAACTATTGATATTTGCTAAAGTATCATCCATCAGATCATAGTAGTATCGATATTTATTTTTAAAAATAATTGTCATCCAAAAATACATAATATATTAAATTCTACCTATATCATTAAACACAACTTTAATATTTCAGTTTGCGGCCTATTTTTTTATTCAAAATAATATTATTGGGCGCAATGTAGTATGTTAATATTTATTTATAACAAAATAAGAAATTAACCTATTTTGTTGTCGTGGGATTTCAAAGGCATATCAGCTTAAATTTTGGTAACATTTTTTGCTCTACCTAATATGTTGATAAAATTAATAACAAAAATAAGTAATTAACTTAATTTGTTATCATCGGATTTCTAAGGCCCCTTCAGCTTAAACTTTGATAATATTTTAGGCGCTACTTAATATGTTGATAATATTGATAACAAAATTAAGTAATTAACATGTTTTGTTATCGTCAGATTTCTAAGGCTCCATCATCTTTAAAAAGTCGCTACTTATTACATTAAATAAACATTACTTGTAATGTTATTATGATTGATAATAATGTTTCTAGTAATTAACCTATTTTGTTATCGTCATATTTCTAAAGCTCCATCAGCTTAAACTTTGGAAATATTTTAGGCGCTATCTAATATGTTGATAATATTGATAACAAATCAATTAATTAACATATTTTGTTATCGTCGGATTTTTGAGGTTCTATTAGCTTTAAAAAGACGCTACCTATTACATTACATAAGCAATACACGTTATGTTATTATGGTTGATAATGTTTTCAGTAATTAATCGGTTATGTTAATGTCAATATATTTTTGGTGCATTTTACATACGACGATAATATTCCCGGTTATTACCATTATTATTATCAACACAAATAACATTTCCAGCGAAAACATATAACATTTCCAATAATACTTTTAATCGATCACTTATTTAACCAATCATATTATATATATTAAGAGAAAATAATCTCAGTGACCAAAAATGCCTTATAATATACGATTTTAACCAACTTTTTTTGGATTTGCCAAAATGACAAACTAAATCGCAATGCGATCAATAATTCGCAACGCGATCTCCGGTATCGCAAACCAGTTTCCAGATTCGCAACGCAAACATCGACTATCGCAATGCGATTTTCCAAATTCGTTGCGATAGTCCTCGCAACGCGAACTTTGACTATCGCAATGCGATTTTCCAAATTCGTTGCGATAGTCCAAATTCGCATTGCGATTTATTCCAAATTCGTTGCGATAGTCCAAAATCGCAACGACGGGTGGTATTGCATTTGTTTCTTAAGAATTTTCTCTAAAAAGATAGTATTCGCACGGACGTGTCGAAGACACGTATTACCACGACCACGACCACGACGAGACGGCGGCGGCGGCGCGCGAGAGTCCCCCTTGTTCTCTATCACTCAACAAGGAAGTGGAAAAGCCAAGCCTTAAATACCATTCCCAATAGTGTTTCCAATACTATGTGTGATTGAGCATTACCAACACTTGTTCCCAATACTATGTGAGATTGAGCCTTAAATAGTGATATTATTTGTGAATTATAGTTAATGACTTTAGTATTTTTATTAAAAGTATTTGTGGTTCGTTTAGTTTTCATGCAATTCTAATTTATTTTCAATTGATTGTAATTGCACGATAACAATTTTTTTTATTCTCGCGAGTGATGCAATTTTTTTGAATGTTTTGCTTAAAATTGCAATAATCGCGATTGATTGTAGATTGACTTTTAATTATGACATATTTAATCGTATAATACTAATGCAATTGGTTGCTGATTCAGTTGTTTTAAGGTGCATGATTGTTAATTGTTTCCTGAATAATCACATAGTATTGGAAACAAGTGTTGGTAATGCTCAATCCCACATAGTATTGGAAACACTATTGGGAATGGAATTTAAGGCTTGGCTTTCCCACTTCCTTGTTAAGTGATAGAGAACAAGGGGGACTCTTGCGCGCCGCCGCCGCCGCCGCCCGTCTCGTGGTCGTGGTAATACGTGTCTTTGACTCGTCCGCGCGAATACTATCTTTTTAGAGAAAGTTCTTAAGAAACAAATGCAATACCACCAGTCGTTGCGATTTTGGACTATCGCAACGAATTTGGAATAAATCGCAACGCGAACTTGGACTATCGCAACGAATTTGGAATAAATCGTAACGCGAACTTGGACTATCGCAACGAATTTGAAAAATCGCAACACGAACTTCGACTATCGCAACACGAACTTGGACTATCGCAATGCGAATATGTAAATCGCAATGTGATAGTCGAAGTTCGCGTTGCGAATCTGGAAACTGATTTGCGATACCGGAGATCGCGTTGCGAATTATAGATCGCATTACGATTTAGTTGGTCATTTTGACAAATCCAAAAAAAATTAGTTAAAATCGTATATTATAAGGCATTTTGGTCACTGAGATTATTTTCTCATATATTAATTGTATATTAATCCACTCACAGCAGAACTCACCGAATTGTGGGTTTGGAAGTTATCCA